GAGGGGGGCCCACAAAAATCTATTGCACCAAGACACTCTCTACATTAGTTCTGCCATTGCATAGACTGCCTGCAGAATAAATGCAAATATATGTAACACTATGCAAACATGGATCAATAAAGTAATAACATAATCAATAAAATATCTGTGACTCGGTTTTGCAAACAGCTACATTTGTCATGTATGCAGGTACATAATGAGATCAACAGGCCGTAGAATTCAGTGCTCTGAAAAATGTCTAAAATGAAGAGATTTTTGTTTTTCTTCAGAAAGAAAAATGTTTTGTTAATATCTGTGTCTCAAGCTCTCTGTGGTGTTGATGGCTGAACATGCTGCCTCAATGCACGTCACTGGGTTACTGGCAATGAGAGAAATGTATTACACAGCCAGAATTACATAAAATCTGAATTATAAACTGCCAGTGAAAAAAATACCCTGTCTCCATAATGATTGTTTTGCAGATATTTCATATATGTTAGTTTAAAAGCCTATTTGAATATATTTTTATACTGAGATTGGCAAATGTTCTAAAATAATACTATTTTGTGAATATAACGCAGTTATGAGGTCTACAAACATTGGAGATTCACAAACTTCTTATCTGCTACCCTGTCTGATCTGTCAGAAAGTGAAGCATTTTGGGATAGAATAGCCTGCACAACCTTCTTTCCCCCCCGTCCATCTCCCCCAGATTTTTTGACTACAACACCCATGTTTCTTTGAATGAAACAGATAGCCAGGGAATCATTGCTGATAGCCAGGGAAGCATGGGAGTTGTAGTTCAAAACATCTGGGGGGTCGCAGGTTCTGAAGGCCTGGATTAGAGAGTATACTGGGTAATGTGCAGATGCGAGTGGGAGTTTCTTTCATCAACCACTTGTTCTCATCTTAAGTATTAGATGAGTATTCTACTTGTTAGATCGGTAAATCTATGCATTTAAATGTCTTATGAACTTACTTAAAGCTTAAATCTGAACACTTTTTAAATCCCTTCATCAAATGACTCAAAATATATTTATGTTTGCAGATCATTTATGCATGTGTGCAAAATGTAGACATAGAAATAGCTTTTACTTTGAGATTTTTTTATACTTTGAGCTTTTACTTTTAGAAGTTTTTTTGCTGTTTGCCAAAACTTGCTACTAGAATTTAAGGTATTTATGTAACAATAGTTTTTTTCAATTAATGTTATTTCTGTAATATATGAATCTAAAACCCGATAAGTAATATTTGAATAGAATTAAAGTTAAAGGGCAGGTGGCACTTTTCTGGCAATTATAAGTGAAGTAAACATTAAAAACCATCTATATCTTGTTGTAAATCCTTCCCATGTGATGCTTTGTATTCTTTTCAATGTATATTAAAGATTTAACAATTAAATCAAAATCTAGTGTGATTGGATTCCAGCATGGTCAAAATTTAGTATGCCGAAATCTCCACATGGCATATGCTAATTAGTATCTGATTACAAACAGTTGGATGAGTCATCGGTGTACTGAGCATGTGCGGAAGTAGAGAGCACATTCCTTTGTCTCAGATGAACCATGTGGTCTGCCCATGTAAGGCCATCCTGAATATCCTGTTTGCTGATTGGTCTAAGGAATATAGGAGGGGTTATACTGTATGGGAGGGGATATGCTGTTAACAAAAAGTTTCTGCAATCTGTGCTCTGGCTCTCAGACATTTTTGGAACAGGAGTTCATCTGAGATCCGATCGGTGTGTAAATAAAAGACCTCTTACTTCCTGAATAGACTTGTGTCCATCTCTCTATGTGTGGCTTCTGTTATGTTTTCCGGTAACACTAGTTCATTCCAGGCAGAGCCAGAGCACACGTTACATTGAAAGATAAACATAATCTTTGTCTCTACGTATCAAATAGTTTGTTCAATGACAGAGGTTATAGCAATGATTTAAACAGAGCCAGGATGGCGACATCCTGTTACAGGATAGATGTTAATACAGTAATGTGGATTTGTGCATTTTAATTCAATGTTTAGACATATAAAACACATATTTGTTAAACCAATAGTTCATAGGATATAAAACTTGAAAATATCCAAAGGAGCTGTTACGTAGAATTTCATTGTCATGGCCTGAAAATGACTGTCAGCTTAACCAAAATACAGTGTGTATCTGGTAATAATATATTGTCCATTATCAGGAATAATAAAAGAGAAATAAGGGCTGCGCCAAAGGCCTTATAACATAATCAGGCTTTGAAAAATAGTTCAAATAAAAGAGTCTTAACTGGAATGATCTTACTCAGATCAGATAGTGTATAAAGTGCTTGGTCGGGAACAATGTCCTCGCTGTCCTTGTCTGGGCAGATCCCCTCATATGAAAAGGCAAAGCATATAGAGAACCAAATAGTGTAATATGTCCAGTCTAATATAAAAAAAGATGATGAAAAGATGGTAATAGACTCACATATATTAGAGCTATAGCTAGCTCTAGTGTGAAGGGCTTACAGTGGTATAATCCCCGCTTATGGGATATTGAGTAGGCTTCCTCCATCAGTGGTATGTTCAACACTCAAAAGAAGGGTAAAAAGAGACAACTAATAGTGCTCACTGGATAAAACAATAGTATTTAAAATATATAAAATGGTACTCACAAGAGAGGAGCAGGCTAACTGCTCCTTGATAATAACGTTCGGGAGAATCATCTTTTTATACACTTGATATTAATTTTATTTTTTACCTGGCATTTTAACATCTTGGACTCCAAGTAATCCCAGGTGGGGATCATACAACCAACGCTATCATCAAGGAGCAGTTAGCCTGCTCCTCTCTTGTGAGTACCAAACATTTTTTAGATACATAAATGAGAAAAGGAAAGTAAAACAAGGATTAATTAGATTAAAAACAAAAGAAGGAAGGCATGTAAAAGAGGATAAAAGTTTAGCTGACTGCCTCAATGAATATTTTTGTTCAGTATTTACAGATGAAAATGAAGGAGAGGGACTAAGTTAAGAAAAAGGACAAATGGGTAATTTGTTACATGTGAGTTTACACAGGAAGATGTTCTATTTCAACTGTCAAAAGTAACGACAAATAAGTCGATGGGGCCTGATGCGATACACCCAAAGTTGGTGTCCTAGCAAAACATAGAAACATAGAAACATAGAATGTGACGGCAGATAAGAACCATTCGGCCCATCTAGTCTGCCCAATTTTCTAAATACTTTCATTAGTCCCTAGCCTTATCTTATAGTTAGGATAGCCTTATGCCTATCCCACGCATGCTTAAACTCCTTTACTGTGTTAACCTCTACCACTTCAGCTGGAAGGCTATTCCATGCATCCACTACCCTCTCAGTAAAGTAATACTTCCTGATATTATTTTTAAACCTTTGTCCCTCTAATTTAAGACTATGTCCTCTTGTTGTGGTAGTTTTTCTTCTTTTAAATATAGTCTCCTCCTTTACTGTGTTGATTCCCTTTATATATTTAAATGTTTCTATCATATCCCCCCTGTCTCGTCTTTCCTCCAAGCTATACATGTTAAGATCCTTTAACCTTTCCTGGTAAGTTTTATCCCGCAATCCATGAACCAGTTTAGTAGCCTTTCTCTGAACCCTCTCTAAGGTATCAATATCCTTCTGAAGATACGGTCTCCAGTACTGTGTACAATACTCCAAGTGAGGTCTCACCAGTGTTCTGTACAATGGCATGAGCACTTCCCTCTTTCTACTGCTAATACCTCTCCCTATACAACCAAGCATTCTGCTAGCATTTCCTGCTGCTCTATTACATTGTCTGCCTACCTTTTAAGTCATCAGAAATAATCACCCCTAAATCCCTTTCCTCATATGTTGAGGTTAGAACTCTATCAAATATTCTGTACTCTGCCCTTGGGTTTTTACGTCCAAGATGCATTATCTTGCACTTATCCACATTAAATGTCAGTTGCCACAATTCTGACAATTTTTCTAGTTTACCTAAATCATTTGCCATTTGGCTTATCCCTCCTGGAACATCAACCCTGTTACATATCTTAGTATCATCAGCAAAAAGACATACCTTACCATCAAGACCTTCTGCAATATCACTAATAAAAATATTAAAGAGAATGGGTCCAAGTACAGATCCCTGAGGTACCCCACTGGTGATAAGTCCAAGCTTCGAATATATTCCATTAACTACAACCCTCTGTTGCCTGTCACTCAGCCACTGCCTTACCAATTCAACAATATTTGAATCCAAACTTAAAGATTGCAGTTTATTGATAAGCCTTCTATGTGCAACAGTGTCAAAAGCCTTACTGAAATCTAGGTAAGCAATGTCTACTGCACCACCCTGATCTATAATTTTAGTTACCCAATCAAAAAAATCAATAAGATTAGTTTGGCATGATCTCCCTGAAGTAAACCCATGTTGTCTCTGATCTTGAAATCCATGTGTTTTTAGATGTTCATCAATCCTATCCTTTAACATGGTTTCCATCACTTTCCCCACTACTGAAGTAAGGCTTACTGGCCTATAGTTGCCCGACTCCTCCCTATTACCTTTCTTGTAAATGGGCACAACATTCGCTAACTTCCAATCTTCTGGGACTACTCCTGTTAACAATGATTGGTTAAATAAATCTGTTAATGGTTTTGCTAGTACACCACTAAGCTCTTTTAATAGCTTTGGGTGTATTCCATCAGGTCCCATTGACTTATTTGTCTTTACTTTTGACAGTTGAAATAGAACCTCTTCCTCTGTAAACTCACGTGTAATAAATGACTCATTTATCCTTTTTCTCAACTGTGGTCCCTTTCCTTCATTTTCTTCTGTAAATACAGAACAAAAATATTCATTGAGGCAGTCAGCCTGACCTTTATCCTCTTCTACATACCTTCCTTCTTTTGTTTTTAATCTAACTAATCCTTGTTTTACTTTTCTTTTCTCATTTATGTATCTAAAAAATGTTTTATCCCCCTTTTTTACTGACTGTGCTATTTTCTCTTCTGTGTGTGATTTGGAAGCTCTTATAACTTGCTTAGCCTCTTTCTGCCTAATCTTATAGATCATTTTGTCTTCCTCACTCTGGGTTTTTTTATAATTCCTAAATGCTAACTTTTTGTTTTTAACTATTTTGGCCACATCTGCGGAGTACCACAGTGGTTTCTTGAATTTTTTGCTTTTACTGACAAGCCTAATGCAATTTTCTGTTGCCTTCAATAGTGCAACTTTTAAATAATCCCATTTTTCTTGGACTCCATTTAAATTGCTTCAGTCTGATAATGACTCCTCTACCCATATTCTAATTTTAGAAAAGTCTGTTTTTCTAAAGTCTAAAACTTTTGTTTTTGTGTGGTGTGACTCAGTCACTGTTCTTATATTAAACCACACTGACTGATGATCACTGGATCCTAAACTTTCACCTACAGTAACATCTGATACCAAATCTCCATTTGTTAACACTAAATCTAGTATGGCCTCTTTACGAGTTGGCTCCTCAACAACTTGTTTTAGAGACAATCCCAGTAGGGAGTTTAGAATATGTGTGCTCCTGGCACAAGTAGCTAATTTTGTTTTCCAATTTACATCAGGAAGATTAAAGTCACCCATGATGATAACTTCCCCCTTCATTGTCATTTTAGCTATTTCCTCAACTAGTAGATTATCTAACTCTTCAATTTGTCCTGGGGGCCTATAAATCACACCTACACGAGTTACTGTGTGATTACCAAATTCTAACGTAGCCCAAACGGACTCTATGTTTGCCTCACTAACTTTTATTAGGCTAGATTTTATGCTATCCTTCACATACAAGGCCACCCCTCCCCCTTTCTTGCCTTCCCTATCTTTCCTATATAAAGAGTACCCTGGTATTGCTATGTCCCAGTCATTTTTCTCATTGTACCATGTCTCAGTAACAGCGACTAAATCTACACTATCAGTTGCCATTATTGCCACAAGTTCATGGATCTTATTCCCTAAACTGCGAGCATTTGTAGACATGACTCTAAGCTTATCATTTTTTAACACACTTGCTACAGGCACCTTCTGTCCTTGTTTTGGGGGACAATTGGATTGATGTTTTATCACCCTTTTGCCCCCCCTCCTAGTTTAAATACATCCTAGCAAAACCTCTGAACTGCTCACTGAGAACATTTGTTCCCTTTTGAGAAAGATGCAAACCATCTTTTTTGTACAGCTTATCTCCATTCCAAACAGAGCTACCATGAGAAATAAAGCCAAATCCTTGCTCCCGACACCATTCACCAAGCCACAAATTAAAGTCCCTAATACGCATCCGCCTGTCGTTCTGAGTGTTATGCACAGGCAGAACTTCAGAGAATGACAGTGTGGAAGCAACCTGCCGTATATCATTGGCAAAAACACTAAAAACTTCCTTAACCTCTGAAACCTCATTGCAAGCCAAGTAATTTGTCCCTAGATGGACAAGTACCATTAACCATTAACGGATTTATTTAACCAATCATTGTTAACAGGAGTAGTCCCAGAAGATTGGAAATTAGCGAATGTTGTACCCATTCACAAGAAAGGTAGTAGGGAAAAGTCGGGCAACTATAGGCCAGTAAGCTTTACTTCAGTAGCGGGGAAAGTGGTGCAAACCATGTTAAAGGATTGGATTGTTGATCATCTAAAATCACATGGATTTCAAGATCAACATGGGTTTACTTCAGGGAGATCACGCCAACTAATTTTTTTTTTTTTTTAATGGGTAACTAAAATAATAGATCAGGGTGGTGCAGTAGACATTGCTTACCTAGATTTCAGGAAGGCTTTTGACACTGTTCCACATAGAAGGCTCATCAATAAACTGCAATCTTTAAGTTTGGATTCCAATATTGTTGAATGGGTTAGGCACTGGCTAAATGACAGGTAACAGAGGGTTGTAGTCAAAGGAGTATATATGAAGGAAAGATCTAGTTACCAGTGGGGTACCTCAGGGATCTGTACTTGGACCCATTCTTTTTAATATTTTTATTAGTGATATTGCAGAAGGTCTTGATGGTAAGGTATGTCTTTTTGCTGATGATACTAAAATTTGCAATAGGGTTGATGTTCCAGGAGGGATAAGCCAAATGGCAAAGGATTTAGGTTAATTAGAAAAATGGTCAGAGCTGTGGCAACTGACATTTAATGTGGATAAGTGCAAGATAATGCATCTTGGACGTAAAAACCCAAGGGCAGAGTACAGAATATTTGATACCCTACTAACCTCAACATCTGAGGCAAGGGATTTAGGAGTAATTATTTCAGATGACTTAATGGTAGGCAGACAATGTAATAGAGCAGCAGGAAATGCTAGCAGAATGCTTGGTTGTATAGGGAGAGGCATTAGCAGTAGAAAGAGGGAAGTGCTCATGCCATTGTACAGAACACTGGTAAGACCTCACTTGGAGTATTGTACGCAGTAGGTATCTTCAGAAGGATATTGATACTTTAGAAAGAGTTCAGAGAAGGACTACTAAACTGGTTCATGGATTGCAAGATAAAACGTACCAGGAAAGGTTAAAGGATCTTAACATGGATAGCTTGGAGGAAAGACGAGACAGGGGGGATATGATAGAAACATTTGAATACATAAAGGGAATCAACACAGTAAAGGATGAGACTATATTTAAAAAGGAGAAAAACTACAACAACAAGAGGACATAGTCTTAAATTAGAGGGGCAAAGGTTTAAAAATAATTTCAGGAAGTATTACTTTACAGAGAGTTTAATGGACTCATGAAATAGCCTTCCAGCTGAAGTGGTAGAGGCTAACACAGTGAGGGAGTTTAAGCATGCGTGGGATAGACATAAGGCTATCCTAAACTTAAGATAAGGCCAGCAACTAATTAAAAGTATTTCAAAAATTGGGCAGACTAGCTGGGCCGAATGATTCTTATTTGCCGTCACATTCTATGTTTCTATGTTTCTATGGAAGATAAAAAGCATGAAAACGGCACTACAGCTTAATGTTTCTTAATGATTCTCGGGCAAAGAGACTGTCACTGCAGCCTCTGCAATGCTAAGACTACCTTTTCTGAGAAAACGGTGTTTACAATGCCTCCAACGACCACCGTTAGTGACTGGCACTCAGATAGCCACTGTCAGTCCTTAAAGGGACACTATAGTCACCAGAACAACTACAGCTTAATGTAGTTGTTCTGATGAGTACATTAGCTCCCTTCAGGCATTTTCATGTAAACACTGCCTTTTCAGAGAAAAGCCAGTGTTTACAATGCCCTTAGGGACACCTCCAAGTGGCCTTTCCTTAGATGGTAAGCAGCCCTGCCGTTCAGCGTCCCTGTGCTCTGCATGGAGATGCTGAATTTTCCTCATAGAGATGCATTGATTCAATGCATCTCTATGAGGAGTTACTGAGTGGCCAAAACAGCATTTGACCCCACCCCATGCCGATTTTAGCCAATCCAATGCTTTTCCCTTTCAATGACCTCCTCCCTTGAGCTATCGCAGTGGGATAAGTCCCCCACCCATGTAGCCTTTGTGACGGATCACCCTGTCTCTGGATTATAAGTACTATATTTCATTCTCCTATGTGTTCGGAACATTGCATTTCCCTTCGTTCTACAATTATTTCATTCACCCACCAAACAAACTCCCGAACAACTAGACCACCTGTATGCGGAGTGTCCCAACTCATTAACCTCTGTCACCTCTTTAACACTCCTAAACCACAACCATTCTAAGCGGTAAGCTGGGTGGTCGCTGTTCGGTATATGAACACGTGGCAGCGGCCATCTTTAGCAGCGAACACACAGAGCAGTGTTTGGTCGTCGAGTGCATGGAACCCAAATCAGACACTCATCGGAGTGAATACAGCTAGAACATCCCTTCCATCGATGTTCGGTTAAACATATGGGAATGAAAGGTGTTCGGTGAGAGCAAGCTCCCGAACGAGAGAAATGGGCGGAACCTACCCATGAACCGCTACGTTCGGATGCTCCCGTTATGCTGAATGCTGCTGGAGGAAGTCACGCACCCAGTCAGACTTCCTGCACTACAAACTCAACCTTTGACTCAGAGTCAGTTAGAGTCAGTCAAAATATGACATCCATGGAAATCCCGAAACCCTGAACCGATCTGGGTTATTTTTTGATATGTTGGTCACCGAGATCGGGGATATCAGGGGATGTTACTTTTGTGGGGTTTCCTTGGGTTTTGAGGGTACTTTCAAGGTACTGCTAAAATGTATGTTTTTTGTGCCTGGAAATATTTGAGTTTAGTACAGTTCATGCTCAATTATCTCTCAGATCCAGTGGGGAGTGCCCCTTGCATAGGGACTGACATAAAAGGCCATGTGTGACCCCATTAAAACCTTATGAGCCTTTTCTCATGTTTGTTGGAGAAAGCTATAACAGCTGCCTCCCTTCTGCTCTTCTGCTTGGAGTGCTAAATCACCAACTCTTATAATAGCTGTTCCTGCTCTGCATGACAGCATCCCTTACACTAGGGGAAGAAGAACATCTCTGGTGGCAAAACTCCTCTTCCCATCGGGGTTGCCGCCACTCCCTTGATCTTATTTTCTCTCTTGAACATACATTGTCTAATCTCTGCAACACTCCATTTCCTCTCTCAGATCACCACCTCTTATCATTTGCTCTCAATAGCCCCCTACCCCATCATCCTCAACCTAGCCCCCCTCAACTTAGAAGAAATCAGAATTATATTAACCTCCAGCAGCTATCAGCTAATATTGATTCCCAACTTCTATCCATCCCTACGTTCTTCTGTCCCGCACTGGCTATCTCCTCATATAACACTACCCTCACCTCTGCCCTGTACGCTGCAGACTCGCTCCGAACACGCCCTCAACCGTGGCACACTAAATCAACAAGCTACTTGCAGAGATGCTCCCATTCTGCTGAACGCTACTGGAGCACTCAGTCAGACTTCCTCCACTACAAATTCATGTTGCGTTCATTCAGCACAGTCCTTGCCTAATAGGTCCTTACAGGTCTTCCCACAAGTCGTATTGCCCCGCTACAGTCTGTAATGAATGTTGCAGCTAGACTGATTTTCCTCTCCTATCGCTCCTCTCACACCTCACCCCTGTGTCAGTCCTTACATTGGCTTCCTGTTTCCTATAGGAGTCAATTCAAGGTACTTATCCGCACCTATAAAGCACTGACCAATTCTAGCCCCTCCTATATCTCTTCACAGTTCCCACAGGTATGGCCCTTCTCAGTCTCTCCGCTTTGCTCGTGATCTTCTCCTGTTCGCTGCTCGAACCCGTATGGATAACTCACGCTTGCAGGACTTCTCGCGGGTGGTTCCTTTCCTTTGGAATAGCTTGCCTTCTACCATTAAGCTCTTCCCTAGTCTTCAATCATTTAAAAGTGCCTTAAAACCCATCTCTTTATGAAAGCTTATAGCCTCCCAGAGTAACCTCTACCTCACATATCTGTCCATTGCTCTCTCCTAAAGGGCAGCACTCTTTTCTCTCCTCCAGCTCTGCTTCACTCCACATTGTTTGATTGCTACCTCCTGTACTGTTGTGTTTTATGCCCCACTTAGACTGTAAGCTCGCCTTCTTCAACCTATCGTTTCTGTAAGTTTTTGTAATCAAATCTCCCCCTTTGATAATATTGTAAAGCGCTACGGAATATGCTGGTGCTTTATAAATACCAGTAGTAGTAATAATAATAATAATAATAATAATCCATTGTTTTAGATTTTCAGTAGTAATAATCTCAGGCAGAGGAGGAGCGGTGGCCTCAGACTGACGTGCCAGGGGACTAAAGATAAGCAAATCTTTTTTATTTTATTATTTTAGGGGAGACAAATAAGATACATTTATTATATTAAACGTAACAAGATAAATAATAAGTCAAATGCAGCAGATAAAAACAAAGTGTCAAATAAAGCTATTAGTGAGACACATAATACGTCCGATGGTAGCTATCACCTAACACATAAGTGCACTGGTGATTACTAGTACCTTCATACGTATTATGTGTCCAAGCAATAGCTTTATTTGACACTTTGTTTTTATCTGCTACATTTTACTTGTTATTATTTATCTTGTTACTTTTTATGTAATTAATGTATTTTACTTGTCTCTACTGGCATACGATATGGTAATTTGTGTTACTCCCATTGCTTGCTTTTGATTTATTGATTTGATTGTGATTGCTCTTGTATGTGGCACAAAAGCAACATCTCTTTTCTTGGAATATTATTTTTTTCTTCTTCCTCTTCTCCTTTCCTTTTGGTGTTTATATTATTGTTATTTTAGGGGACCCTACATCTAAATATTGGAGGAAACACTCTAACGTTATGTCTGCATTCCTGATGCGAGAGTGTTTCTTTAAGTTACAAGAGGTCCCATGTGTTTTAGCAATTATATTTCCTAGATGTATACAAATTCAGTTTTATTGTTCTGTTCAAATGCATGTTCGTGAACAGTTAGAATGTTGTATTCTGAGTCATGGATTACACTTTCAGTTCTAGCAAATTAATCTGTTGACACATGACAGTTATGGCTTGAGTATATGACAGCTAATATAATGACCCAAGTGTGCCATCTATGGTGATACACAATATAAAACCCTCTGTGAGATAATAAGTAGGAGCACCCCTGCTGTAGGTTTCAGTTATACTGATATCTAAAATCCATTGAAGAAAGCTGTTAAAGTAAAAGTAGAGTATATATAGAATTGGCCTATGACTCACACAACTACTTCAATCAGACAAGATAAGGCTGTAAAGTAACAGTCTGACTCAACTTTAAACAGAAAAATGACTCAGAGTAAGATATTGATTTATTTACCATTTTCAGAGTGCCATACGGAATTACTTTGACAAATATACTTCCCTTGTTTCTCTTCTATCGTTAATGTCAGCATTCAAGTCTCTTAGATCAGCTTGCATGCAGTCTGTTTGTAAGCGGTACGAAATTAACATTGGACCCATCACAAAAAGAAAGACGTAATCAGTTAAATTTAGAACAATCTTTATTTTGCTTTATTCCAAGATATACACATGCCAGAAGATCTGACGGGGGAAGAGCATGCACAATGAAGTCGCATTACACAATCACCACCTTTCATAGCTTGAGTGGAAATGCCTTCAGTCACAAAATATGAAAGGTAGCTTCATTGTTCCTGTACTTGCCCCTGTCAGTTCTCATAGCATGTATATTTTTTAAATAAAGAAACCAGAACATTTCTATGTTGAACCAATCAAGGGTTTCTTTATGTAACTCTATGAGGGATCCAGCGATAAGGTTTTCAGTTGTTTTCCATACCAGTATAACCTATATTAATCCTCTGGGTTAATGGCAACCCCAATCTCCAAGCTAACATGTAGGAGAATCATGAGAATAAGGGGAAAGTGATATTGCTGTAAAGGTTTTGCCACTGTGTAACAGAAATGTGGCATTGTACTGTGGATCTTTACCCCTGGGTCAGAATACATGGGTTCGAAATGTCAAATATTCCAAGTCAGTTCCTAGACAATCTAAGCAATAGACAGTTCATTGAGCAGTGCTGCCTTCCTCAATGCAAGAGAAACCATTGTATTAAACTGGAAGACTCTACTGAGGGTCTTTTACAAAATCTACTTTAAATGAACTTTAACTTTAGTAGAAATTATATTACAATTTAAAGTAACATTTCAAACACCACAACCACCACTGCTGTAGTGTTTATAGCGGAAGGAGTGTCATGGTGCCATTCCATAGTAAGATGTCAAACAGTTGTAACACGGTTTGTCAACCTAATTGGTCCCACTAGGCACCAATGGCCCGAGCACTCTAGTTTCTCCTGCTGGCACTGTGGGACCAATGTAAGGTGTCAAGCTGTACTAAAAAGGGTTTGGCATCGTTAGTGGGGTGGTGCCAGCCAGGCCACTACTAAAACCATAACCACTACGAAGGCTTGAGTGTTCATTTAAGAATATTCACTGAGCTATTGTTATCAGTGGAGAATGAGTCACCACGCTACATAATTATGTTCTCTTTCAAAAAAGTAAGATTCCTTAACAAAAGCAATAACTAAAGAAAAAAATAAAGCATATCTATTGTCATTATTTAAATATGACATTTTTAGAAGAGGTGCCTTTTGATGCCAGTCATACTGCACTTCCTACGTAGGAGTTTCAGCTGCAGAGGGGGGATAGATTGCACAGTCTGTCATACTTCAGTGACATTTCAGCTAGTATAGCATGCCTCATACAATATTGCGGAACGTATACACACTGCTATCAGAATGTGTTTCGGCTTGGATATTTCAGTCTGTGAGTTTCTAGTTTTGCTAACCCAGCTACTATGCTCCCAGTATTATTACTTTAACTTAGGAGGGGGGCTAGGAACAGCCACAAAATAATTTGGCAGAAAACTAGGGAATGGCACACACAGAATTTAGGTAACAAACATCACAATGAGCTGCAATGGTTTTCACTAATTTTAAAGTAAGGTATTGGTCTACAAATCAATGTTAGTATGATGAAGATTGTCAACTATTATGCAGTGTTAGTGAATCTGATTCACAATTTGTGAGACACACACTAAGCACATGTGAAAAACAAGTAATGTTTCAATGATGACTATATTGATTTTACACACGCAAATTATTTATTTATATATATATATATATATATATATATACACATATATTGTGGTGGTATAATTGGTTCATAGCAGTGGGTGTGGTTACAGTATATATTTATGTATAACTGTCTATTGCTTAGGTTGTCTATATATATACACTCTAACCAGGGTCGCCTTTAATATTGATTGGTCCCTGGGCAAGCATTTGCTTGGGCTCCCTGGACCCTGCCCCCGCCACCACCACCCTCACTCCCTGGCATGCAATCAAGCCCTCCACCCCAATGCAGTGACGGACTAAAGTAGAAATAGTCCTGGTGCAAGAATTGTTTTGGACCCCCCCAATCGCAAGGGTGGCCAGAAGGTAGATTTCTATCTGTCGTGCAACTCCAACAATGCTTTGACAGCTGGTGCTCTACCATTTTCCCATGCTTGCAAGGTTGTATTTAGCACTGACCATATTGGTGTGTTTGAATATAAGCATGGTTTTGAATGGAGTATGTTTGTGTGAATGGGTAGGGGTGTGTTTGTATGTGCCGTTTGAATGCAAGCATGCATTTATGTGTAGTGTTGGATTGTAGTGTTGAATATAGGGATGTGTTTATATATTATTGGTGTTTAACACCAAAATGTGCGTGTTTGTATGTAGTGCTGGTGTTTCAATGCAGGTGTGTGTGTGTATGTAGTATTGAAGTTTGATTGCAGTGGTGTATTTGTATGTAGTGTTGGTATGTCAATGCTGACATGTATGCACATATGTACATACACTGCCACACACACACACACTGTGATACACATACAGATACACAGACATACACACTGAAACACATGCAAATACACAGACATACACACTGACACACTTGCAGATACAGACACATAAACTGACGCAGATACAGACAAACAGATACACAACCTGACACACATGCGGTTGCTCAGACGCACAGGTATACACACTGACTACATATATATACTACAAATACACACACTGATAACATACAGATGCAAACACACATAAAGATGCACACACATACAGATACACAGACACATATACGGTCAGACATACGAACATAGACACATACACTGGTAGACATACTGTTACATACACTGACAGACATACTGACACACAAACACATGCACCGGCAGATATACTGACACACACAAATACATTTACTGACAGACATACTGACACACACAGATACATATATGGAGGGATGAATCAGTGCTATAGATATCTAACTAGAGGGAGTGGAAAGAGGCTGGCAGGGATCCCTCTTATCCTACTAATTGAAATAAAACACAGAAAAAAAGAAAGAGCTAGGGGTAGCGCCACTATTTTGAAATGTACAGTGATATATACAGTATATATTATATAATAGATAAACAAATATATAGTTAAAAGTCCAAAATGGTAAAACAAGTCCAAGAGGTAATGTAGATATGCACTTATCAGAAGTATTATGTCTGGGTAATTCCTCAATATGCGTAGCAGAGTGGGTTCAGCAGTGGAGTCTGTACGAAACAACAGAAAGGAATAATAGGGTAGTATGTAACTAGCTCCAGTATGAATTGTATACAGTGGTACAATTCCCACTTGCAAGGATACGTGAGAATGAAGTCTTTGTAGTAGGTGGACCATTAAAAAAAAAAAAAAAACAACATAAAATGCCAGGAGTAAGGATAAATGGAAACGTACTCACATTTGCCAGAGCAGACGGACTGCTCTATGGATCAGGCGTGGGTGGTATAATCCCCACCAAGTATGTCTTTGGAGCTCTTTTCTGGAGATAAAAATCAGGTGCCAGGCAGTATGAGGTAAAATAAAATAAGATCCAAATAAAATAGTAGTGATAATAAAAATTTAGAAAAAAAGAGTAAAATGGCACACTCTAGTAAACTGTAAAATAAGCCAAAGTACCTTTATTCATCCAATAATAAAACACAGGTTAAAACAGCATAAATAGTAACCACAACGTGTTTTGCCTCTAGGGCTCCTTCAAGTGGAGATAAAAAGGAGTGCTCTGACATATGAGGGTTTAAATAGGGGAATGAGTAATTGTCAGTTTGAAATTAATGCCAAAATGGCTTCATTAGCTTAATAATAATCTATTGTATACCTTTAAAAATTAGCACTCTATATGTTGAGAGAGATGGTATTAATATATTGGTTATATTTATATTTAAAAACAAAGCTTAAATGTGATAAAAATGGATATATTGAAGTGGTCAATAAAAAAAAATGTATTTAAACAGACAAAATAGTTATGGGTAGATAAAAATAATCAACAAATCATTTTTTAACCCCTTAAGGACACATGACATGTGTGACATGTCATGATTCCCTTTTATTCCAGAAGTTTGGTCCTTAAGGGGTTAAACAGGCAAATAGCCTTAGGGAGATACCTTACCCTGGGCTGGATTATAAAACTAATATTATGGAATAGGGAAAGTGGATGGGATATTGGAGACACAGATTATATGATTATTAGAAAATATAGCAATATAGGTAAAACATCTTTAGAGTCCAGAATTTACATTCTAATATATGTATAACTGTGTAAAATGGTATATTTGACATTTACATTGTGTTGGCATATAAACATAAAATATATTTTTTAGACATGGTTTAATAGGCTAAAAGTGAATAATTATAAGATCAAAAATAAAATACAGATAAATACAATGAAAATAAATACATATGAACATAAAGCATATGATAACATTTCTGGATCCCAATGCATTTTAGATGTTTAGGGTTTTTATCGTGGATTAGAAAGTGTTTTGATACTGAATGATTTGGGTATCCTCCGATTTTATTTTGACAGTGTTCAGCTAGTCTGGTTTTTAAACATCTAGTTGTCATTCCAACGTACTGGAGGCCACATGGGCATTACAGTAGATGTATAACATTTTTGGTATTGCAGCATATAATGTGGGGTATGTTTTATTAGTAATATTGGATGTAAGTTGTGTAGTTTTGGACTTAATGTTTGGATCTGTAGTTTTGCAGACTATACATCGATTGCATTTAAGAAAAAACTTTAGATTGAGATAAAAAGGATAATGATTGGTTGTAGGTGGTTTTGGTGTAATGTTTGGTTAAAATAGATCTAAAACTAGGAGCACCTCTAAAAACTATGTTGGGTTTATCTGGGATAAATTCTTTGAGAGTGTCGTCTTGTTTTAAAATGTGCCAGTGTTTTTTAATGATTTTCTTCGTATTGTGACTTTTGTTAATCAAATTAAAAATTATCGGCACAAAAGAGGAATCTTTGTCATTTTTAGTTTTTAGAGGTCTGATCTATTTTTTGTTTGACTGCTGTAAGAGATCTTTCAAGGTTATCTGGGGAATAATTTTTATTGATACATTTTTCTTTAAGAGTAAGGGCTTGTTTATTGAAATCTTCATCACGGGAGCAATTTCTACGGAGGCGTAAGAATTAGCTTTTGGGTATACTCGTTAACAATGATTTGTGGTGACAGCTGGATTGGTCAATAATAGTGTTCATACAGACTTAAAAAAAAGTTTTATTATTAATTGTGCCGTTACGAATAAACATTTGTAAGTTTAAAAAGTTAATACTACTGCTGATGAATTCTGAGGTTAAAATGATACGGTTGTTGTTTGTATTAAGATGGTTTAAAAAGGATTTTAGGAAATCTTCTGAGCCTTTCCAGATAAAAATGGTTATCTATATAACAGAAATAGATAACCAGGTTTGCCTGCCAAGCATGGTCACCCCAAATGGTTTCTGTCTCTAAATGAGCCATAAAAAGGTTCGCATAGCTTGGGGGAAAACTGGAACCCATAGCCGTGCCTTGTTTTTGGATATAAAAGGAATCTAAAAACCAAAAATAGTTTTTTGTTTTTTTTAAATAATTTGTATACCTTCTATGATAAAATCTATTTGTGCATCGTAGATAATGTCTTCTGCTTTTAATAATTTTAAGACCGCTTTGCATCCTTTTTTGTGGGGGATGATGGTGTATAATGATTGAACATCGAATGTTACTAAAATATACTCTGTTTGCCATGTGTAAAAAGCAAAGGAGGGTCACGGAGTCTTTGAGATATGATTACATTTTTTTGACTGAGGGTTGTAGAATGATATCTACGTATTCTGAGAGATTGGATAAGGCAGAATTTATACCGGAAACTATGGGTCTACCTGGGGTATTTTGTTCGCTTTTGGTAGAAAATAGATGACAGAGATTTTGGGGTAAGGTACACTTATATAATGTAATTCCTTTTTTGTTAAAATATTAGATTCAAAACCTTTTTTTTTTAAATATATCTAAAATATTTTTTATGGTGGAAGTGGGATCATCTGATAGTTTTTTGTAGACTTTGGGGTCATTAAGTTTTTTGAAAGCCTATTCTATATGAAATGTTTTCAAGAGTATAACTAGAGTTCTTTGAGGGACAATTGTTCACTGCGGGTAAAATTGTGATGTTGGTGTTTATGTTTTTTTAATGTTCTCGAGGTCTTTTTTTTTTTATATTCTTTATTTTTGTTGCACATATAAAATACAGTGTAAGACTGCCTCGCCACAACAGCAGAGCTGACTTTGCATTTGCAGACATGTTATGACAGTATCATATCATATTGACAGTGTGTGCATAAAATTACCAGATTTTACTAATTACATGACGTAAAGTCATAATTTTATAAAGGACACGGAGGCGAGTATTAGGCTTTATCTCTTTCTTTATTCCTCAGCAGCAAAGAAAGGATATTGATATTTTTTAATATAGCAATAACAAAAAAAAAAGAAAAAACAAATACCCTTAAGGGTTAACCATATAACATTCCATATCCATTAACCAATAGGATCAGTCCTTGTACTATATCCCTTCATGTGAGGTAAACTACTTCCTCTTTCTGGCTGACGCCGAAGCTGAACACATCAACAAGGGAAAAATTTTCTCAAACTTGGGTAATCTTTCGTAGGGGTTCCGGCGAATGTTCCAAATGATGTTGAGATAGTGGACGATCCTGGTTATGTCATCACAGGGTTAAGCTGTAGGAGACAGATATATGGTAAAATATATTCGCATATCGTTGTCATGCATATATGTTGTACCGGTCCTTAGACAAACATTTATATCTGAAAACATTGCTTGCGACATTCTAGCATAAATCAGTCTAAATTGCAATTATTACCCTATAACCTAGATTCTAAACATCCAAAATGCTATAACCTGTTTATGAGCGAGTGGGTGGGAAAAATGCATGTACGGCTTACCTTTCAGTGGGTGGGCTAATACTCGCCTCCATGTCCTTTATAAAATCATGACTTTACGTCATGTAATTAGTAAAATCTGGTAATTTTATTAAAGGACACGGAGGCTCTTATTAGGCTAGTTTAAAGCTGTGATATGACCCTAGACGAGATATGTTCTGTTGGTCTAAAGTAGTATTCCTTGAACGTCGATTCTTGGGACCAGTCAGCTGTGCGGAGGAGGTCTTCCAGTTTACATCCAATGGAGAATGCTTTAGAGGCCATAGCGCCTCTGGTAGAGTGTGCTCCGTAAACGGCTGTGTCGATGTTAGCATTTGACATTATCCATTTCACCCAACGTGTCAGAGTTCCCGTGGATACTGGTTGATGAGGTTTCCTCACTGCCAAGAACAAATTATGTGTGGTTGGGTTCCGGAATGGCTGGGTCCGTAATTCATATTCCTGCAGGCATGCTACTGGGCAGAGGTTAGCGTTGTGAGGAAAGGAGGGATAGAAGACTGAAGTGATGTTCGACTTTGTACGTCTGGTGATATTAAACAGGACACCATCCGGTGTGAATGATCGTGCATCGATATCCAAGGCCCTCACGTCTGATACCCGTTTGCAGGAAATTAAGCATAGAAGCATTGCCAATTTTGCAGACACTTGCTTGAGTGTTAGGTTCGAGTTTGGGGGCCAATCTTGCAACAAACGAAGGACCATATTCACATCCCATAGGGCCGTGTAACGAGGTTGTGGTGGACGTGCAAATTTTATGCCCCGTAGGAGACGACAGATCCATAAGTGCTTCCCAGCCGGGAAGCCTTCCCAACCAGTGTGCCCAGCTGAAATCGCTGACCTGTAGACATTTATGGTGCGATAAGCCAAGCCTTGATCATAAAGGGTAGTAAGGAAAACCAAAACCTGGTTTATAGGAGCACGTATGGGATCCACGTGCCGTTCCACGCACCAACTACACCATGTGTTCCAGGCATGGGCATAGGAACGTCTTGTCCCTGGGGCCCAAGCTCCTGCCAATAAGTCCAAAGTTGCTTGTGAAACATTCGGCATGGTCCAGGGTCCCCGGAGAGGAGCCATGTTAGGAGTCTGAGATGACCTTGCACCAGAAGTGGATGAGAGTTCCCATCGGGGTCTGATAATAATTCCGTGCTCCCTGGAATCAATCTGGGGAGGTCGATTGACATTTCCATGAGTGAAGGGAACCATGGCTGTGCCGTCCAGAACGGTGTTATCAAAACCAACGATGCTCGGGAGCGCTGTAAGTGCAGGAGAGTTCGCGCTATGAGTGAGAAAGGGGGAAAGGCGTATAGCCTGGTATTCGGCCAATTTTGTAGGAAGGCATCCACTGCCGTGGCGTCTGGGTCCGGTCTCCAGCTGAAGAATGAGGGGAGTTGAGCATTCAGTCGGGAGGCAAAAAGGTCGATGTGCATCGGTCCTCAGAGTTGGTGGAGCTTCTGGAATACTGTGCGATTCAATCGCCATGCACTGTTGTCTCGTAAATGCCTGGAGTGCCAATCCGCTACGGTGTTGGAGAGTCCTGGGAGGTATTTCGCCTGTACGGATATGTTGCCACTCAGGCAGAAATGCCAGAATTCTTTCGCCAAGTTCGTGAGGGTTGATGACCTCGTGCCACCCAAGTGGTTGATGTAGCGGACGGCTGAGACATTGTCCATGCGCAGGAGTATGGAACAATTGGTCGTGTGTCCGAGGAGGCTCCGTAGGGCGAATGACCCAGCCAGGAGTTCCAAACCATTGATGTGGAGTTCTTTTTCTTCGGAAGACCATTTTCCACCTGTAGAGGTAGGACCACAGCGGGCCCCCCATCCCAGTCTGCTCGCGTCGGATTCTATGACTAGATCTGGAGTGGCGCCGAAGATTGCCTTGCCGTTCCATGCTTCCATGTGTTGAAGCCACCATGCCAGTTCCTATTTTGCCGCGCAGTCTAGAGGTACAGAATCTGAATAGGAGCGACCCAAGCGTAGGTGGGTTGCTTTGAGTTGTTGTAGGGATCTGTAGTGGAGAGGGCCTGGGAAGATCGCTTGTATAGAGGCCGAGAGCAGGCCAATTATCCTGGCTAGCTGTCGGAGGGTTAAGACCGGTCGAGTCAACGTCCTCCGGATTTCCTTCTTGATAAGTTTTACTTTCGCGGTAGGAAGACTGAGCGTTCCGTGTACTGCGTCTATATCGAAGCCCAAAAACTCTATCGAGTGTGAAGGTTGTAGGATCGATTTGTCCCAATTGATTAGGAAACCTAGGTTTTGCAAAAGGGTCACTGTCCAGAATAGGTGTTGATTCAGTAGCTGTGTGTCTTGGGCCATGATCAGCATGTCGTCGAGGTATATGATCAGACGTACACCTCTGCTGCGAAGGAGGGCAACTACCGGTTTCAGCAGCTTGGTGAAGCACCACGGGGCTGAAGACAGGCCGAAAGGGAGGCAGCGGAAACGCCACATCGTCTGTTCCCATTGGAATTGCAGTAATTGTTGACAGTCCTCGGCAATCGGAATTGTGAGGTATGCATCCTGGAGGTCCAATTTTACCATCCAGTCTCCCAGTCTTAGTAGGTCTCGGAGGCAGTGTATTCCTTCCATCTTGAAGTGATGGTATGTGACAAAGGCGTTGAGAGGCCGCAAGTTTATTACTGGCCTCGTGCCCCCACCTTTCTTGGGTACTAGGAAGATGTTGCTTAGGAACCCGGGGGCGGTAATGGGAACCCTGTATATCGCACATTTATCCTCCAGTGTGCGAATCTCTTTTAACACTAGCTGTTTGTCTAGTGGGGAAAAAACAATCCGATGTGGCAATGAGAGTTGAATCGGCTGTTGTGTAAATTCGATGTGATAGCCGAGGATGGTCTCTAGGACCCATGTATCTGAGGTTAGGTTGTGCCACGCATCCTGGAAATGAAACAATCTGCCCCCCACAGGTACAAAGGGAATGGTGTGTAATGTGGAGTGACTCACCATAAGGCCGACGGCCATAGGAGGATCCCCTGGTTCCGCGTGGATGCCATGATCTGCCCCTGGTCGGGAAGAATGGTGATTGTGCCCATGGTTTGGGTGGGTGAAACCGTGTTGTGGCGGAGCCTCGATAGCCCCGGAACTGAGTCCAGGAGGGGCGGCCGGACAGACGGCCCCACTGTCTGCCGGCCCCCCCGAAAACCTTTTGCGAGAACACTCGCTTCATATTATCTAGTGCCGTAAATGTGTTTACGTAATTACCCAGGGTCTTAACAAAATTGTCTCCGAATAAGAGACCTTTTGCCTGTGTGCCAGGCTCGGAGATTGCCAAATGCACTAGTTTTGGCTCGATTTTCATCAATATGGCTTTACGCCGTTCCGTGGCCAAAGCGGTGTTGGCATTTCCTATTAGGCATATGCCTCTCTGAATCCAGCCTCTGATGGCCATCAAGTCAATTGGGGTCCCCCCAGTAAGGGCCGCTTCGACCATATCGAAGATTTTAGCTATAGGCCCGAGTATGTCCAGGATCTTGTCCTGGCAGTGTTTTAAGGAGTAGTCCAAACCCTTCTTGGCCCTCCATCCTGACTTACACAGGAACTGGGCGACCTTGGGATCCACTTCAGGGGTCACGCAGGCCATGTCTGGGACAGTGGGCCTTGGGCATTCCGCCCTCAGTTTGCTTCTTGTGGCCTTGTCGAGGGGTTTTCTGACCCTAGTCGCAATATAAATGGCCACATGAGTTGTGGGGTACCACTCCGCTGAACGCGGATTATGCAAGGTGTCGGGATCAAAAAGGGGTTCCCCTTGGGGGTCTAACACAGCGGACCCATCCGTCTCGCGCTCCGCGTCTAACGCTGGAGGCGCAGTGTCGCTGCGTTCGGGGGACGAATTGTCTGAATTAATTGGGTCAATGTCATCGGACCCATCTGATACCTCCTCTGAGTCCGAATCGGAGTCGGACGGATCAGATAGGGCTTTTGCCCTCTTCCAAGTCCGCACCGTTTTTGCCCGGCGGGGGGCTCTTTTACGTGGGAGCACCACGTCATCAATCTCAACAGGGTGCAACCTGTCCGTCTTACTTGTTCTGGAGGTAGCACCTGACAGATGGTGCGATTTGCACGTAGCCTTGCGGCCGCTAGGGACCATTGGCTTGCTATCAGTGGATATAGGGGGTGCCGAGCCCGGGTTGTGACTGGATGCCCTAATAGCAGAGGAGATAGAGTGGGACAGGGTGTCCGACATCGCCCCCAGGGCGGTAAAAATGGCCTGTGTAACAGACCTACTCATCGTGGCATCCAGGAGCGCCTGGAACTCCTCTGAGTTCACATGCTCCTGGGATGCGTCCCCAACTCCCCCAGTGACAGCAGCGTCTGTAGACAGGGCTGTCTTATCACGTTTGCTGGGTTTAGTAGAGGTGGGAGGGGGGGTAACTGTCTGTTTATCAGCAGGGGACTGCATAGTGATCAGGAATGTGCACAGTAACAGTTGAGGGAGAAAGGCACTGAAATAAAACTGTCACTATTGGACAAAATGCACACTGGCAGCACTGCAGAGGTTAATATACCAGCAATATAGGGCAAGTGGCTGAGCACCAGACTAAAAGTAAAGGCAGGCACAGTTATACAAGGCACAAGTATTTTGGCACATATAATATGGCAGCTTACCGAGTGTTCCCTCAGGAATGACTCCTGGGGGACACTGGTAAGCTGCCCAACACTTCCCTCACCCAATCAGCTCGCGCCCCTCCCTGTCAGAGTGGTGCGGACCGCGGGCGAAAAGAGCGGCAAAATTGCCTTCAGTTAAGATGGCCGCCGCGATGCGCGAGTGTGGACCGCGCATGCGCGAGCGGCGGAAACGGCCGCCCAAGTAACAGCCGCCCGTCCGGCGGCGAAACGGCTCGTTCTGGGCCAGGGGGGGGTGAGGGGGGGTGGGGAGGGGATGCCTGAGCGACCCCCACCCGGGGAAGTGGAAGGAGGGACGGGTTATAAACAACCCGAAAACGGCAGTGCAGGATGGGGCTTGCCTCAGGGAGGAGGCAAGCACCCTGCACTGGGAATAGGAGTAAAACAAGACATCAATAAAATACACAAAAAATTAAAGAATAGACAAAACAAAAACAGCAGATATATAAAAAAGAACAGTATAAGAAAATAAAAAATAATAATATGAAACTGAACAACACAATATGTGAGGAGCTGAAAAATATGTGGTACTTAGCTGAGGCAGCAGCAAAGAAAGAGGAAGTAGTTTACCTCACATGAAGGGATATAGTACAAGGACTGATCCTATTGGTTAAAGGATATGGAATGTTATATGGTTAACCCTTAAGGGTATTTGTTTTTTCTTTTTTTTTTGGTATTGCTATATTAAAAAATATTAATATCCTTTCTTTGCTGCTGAGGAATAAAGAAAGAGATAAAGCCTAATAAGAGCCTCCGTGTCCTTTAATAAAATTTTATATTATTAAAATAAGTATGTCATGCTGTGCCTAAATGTTTAGGTTGGGATGTCGGATTCCATGTTGCCAGGCTAATGGTACACCTAACCGTTTATAGGGTGAGTAAGTTGGGAGTAAGGTCTAGGTAGACTGAGTACAAAAAAAAAAATAAATAAATAAAAAATATAAGGATAAGAACTGGGTGAGTCTCATAGGCTTATAGCTATCCTAAGCGTTTGGATACAGTTTGTGTCTCTGGGTTTTACTATACTAAGCCTAATGGTAGTTATAAGGTGAGCTGGTGGTTCTGTGGGCGTACTTGTGGGGAATAGATGCCCTCTCCTGGGGGGTCTAGAGTGAGGTGGCCGTTGGAACGGGTATGTGTCTATTGTTCCCTAGGGTGTGAGATATTCTCTGTTGAGATTTAATGCGGGTGGCAGCGCTGGGGAGGGACATGTTCCTGGCGGCAAGTCAGTGGCTTTTCGTTTTTGTGTGGGGAGGGCATGGGAGGGGGTGCTCAGCAACCCTTGAGCGTGGGGGGGTTGTGTAAATAGTCGGCCTGTCTGTCCTTGTGGAGTAAAGTTGGAACCTTTGCAAATTATAAAAACAATATAACAATATAACGCTGGCTAATCATGCTGTGAGAAAACTGTAAATTATAAGTGTTAACCGCATTGCTATTGATTGCCAGACCATCGGCTAACTCTCCTGTGAGAGGGTGAAGGTAAGTCCCGGTCCTCTTGTTGTGTCTCAGCCTGTGTCGGCCTCGCAGCGAGGTACAAAAGGGAATATGTTAGGTACGTCCCAGGAATGTCCAGGGGTAGGGGCTTTCTTTTTGAGGCCTGTGAGTCCCAGACTGCGAAGGAAGGAGTCGGCGTCTGCCGCTGATGTGAGTCGGTGGGTGGTCTCGCCCTGGGTGGCTACCAGTGTGCGGGATGGGCCCCATCTGTACTGGACGCTTGCTTCTCGGAGGGTCTTGGTGACCTGGTTAACTGATCGCCTCCACTCCAACGTTGCTCTGCAGAGATCCTGTAGGAAGGTGAGTTGGGAGTCTTCAAATTGAAGTGGGCACTTGTTTTTAACGGCATCCATTACGGCCTGTTTATCTCGGGTGGTCTGGAAACGGAGAAGGACATCACGGGGTGCGTCCGCTGGTGCCCTGGGGGACTCCATCTGTGTATTCCGTCCACTTGTAGGGTCTTCGCCTGCTTAGGTTGCATAATCTCAGATATAAGGCGCCGGATAAAGTGGGGCAGCTCTCTTTCATTAACTGTTTCTGCAATGCCTCTGACTTTGACGTTGGCACGTCTCCTGGCATCGTCCATTGCGTCCACTCTGGCCTGTAAGGCCTGGTGTGAGCCCTGGAGTTGTCGTATTTGCTCTGTTGCACTTGTTTGTCGCTGTGCTATGGAGGAGATATCCTCCTCCGTGGCTTTCACCCTGTCTGTTACGGCCATGACCTCCTCGCGAAGCAGTGCTATATCCGTACGGAACCAGGTGCGCAGGTGTTTCAGGAGGCCCAGAATGTCTCCCTTAGTTGCTGGGGCCCCGAGGTCACCTACTTGTATGGCCGAGAATGGGTCATCTGCTTCGGGGATGGCGTCCGGGGAATCCAGTGGATCCTCTTCCGAGGAGTGGCCTAGGGATTCAGGCGTCGCCGCCATTTTGATTTTAGGCCGCGCCAGAAATATGTCCCCTATTCTTCTTGTGCCCTCGTCTGAGTGGGCCTTTAGTTTCTTAGTTCGTTTTCCCATCGTGTGGGGCAGTGGGGTTGTCGATTAGTTGGTACGGCACTGCTGTTTTTTGGGGTTAATTCTTGGATTTTGCTGTTTTCGGCCAGGAGCCCTGCCGACATGCGACTGCTCTCTGTTGCTGTCAGGCTCCGCCCCCCTCTCGAGGTCTTTTTGAACTAATTTCTTGAAAACCTCAAGTGGGCCTGACTTGAAGCTAGCTGGGTAAAAGTTAGAGCTTTTCTTTAAATGGGTGGTGATTATTTTAGGCTCCTCTATGGGCTCTGCAGGTGGATGGTTGGGGATAAAAGGTATATCTCTAGAAATAGTTTTTTCTAAAAAGAACCTCTTAAGTGTTGCTTTTCTAACAAATTTATAAACATCTAAAAAAGCTTGGAAGGGTTAGTTGGGGCAAATTTGAGGCCTTTGCTTAAAACAGAGATATGTGTGGAAGATAAAACTTTTTATATATACTGACAGACATACTGACACATACACTGAAAGACATACTGACACATATACATAAACTGACAGACATACTGACACACACGCAGACACGTACACTGATAGACATACTGACCCTCACACACATTCACATATACTGACATAAATACTAAGACAGACATACTGACACACAGTCAGACAGACAGACATACTGACACACACACACGCAGGCAGACAGACATACTGACACACACACAGACATACTGACACACACACACACACAGACATACTGACACACACAGACATACTGACACACACACACAGACACACTGACACACACACAGAAATACACACACACACAGACAGACTGACTCACACAGACAGACATACATGTTTCCTACCTTTTTCTGGAGGGTGGCTTCCCTGGGGTCCAGTGTGGTGCCTGCGGCTGATGGGAGTGAGGAGCCCCCCTCCTCACTGCCTCCTACTCTTCCTCCCTCCCGCGCAGCTCTTTCTGCCCCCTCACGCACGACTCCTCCCAGACTGCTGCTGAAAAACAAGCCCACCAGGTGCTCCTAAGTGCATGGTCCACGTGGTGGGCCTACTTAGTGTGTGGGCCCCCGCCAGGCAGCAATATCGGGGGGAAAAATTCATGAGGGCAGCGAGGCCCACAAGACAGCTGCTATGGGCCCCCTGAAGTCAATGGGCCCAGGGTAGCTACCTTGTTTGCCACGCGTTCAAGACAGTCCTGACTTTAACCCCTATCATATGAGCCATTGATGGCCCTTGAATAGCGAGGCCAATAGCATGCCCCCACTCATGGGCAGCGACTTAATGGGAGGCCCCTGAAATTCCTTGTTAAAGGACAGTAGACATGTTCAAAATAAAAAGAAGCCCAGAGAGGACAAGGGAATGAAGAGAAAATACCAGAAATGTCTCAGCTGCCCCGTGCCCACCATCTTCTTTAACGTGCTCAGTCTCTCTGTAGCGGTGACCTGATGGCTACCGATATTGTGGCTGAGCTGATTCTAATTTCAATCTGTAATGATTGTTGCTTCTGTTAACCGTGTCAGCTACTGCAGATTAATATTGCCAGCTGCCAATGTAATAAGGAGTCTAATAGTCTATCAGTATGCTGCTGCTTTAACCCTGTGCACTGGTAGAGAGAGCTAATAGCGAGTCAAGGCATGTTTTATAACAGAAACATTTACTGATAAAGCTGTCATAGCAGGAGCACCGCTGAATATGAGATCATAGGTGGGAGAGCTTGACTTGACAGCGAGAACTGGAGCATTTTACAGAGACATTGGTGGCTATCTCTCTATTGCAGCTCTGTGTTACCCATCACAGTGCGCCTGACTGTGTGGGATAGTTATGGCATCGATCCTTATTGTACTCTGTATTTTACTCCGCTCTGCCTGTTGTACAGATATCTCTGTATTGTGCCCTGCCTAATGTATTGTATCTCTGTATTTTACTCAGCTCTGCCTGTTGTACAGATATCTCTGTATTGTGCCCTGCTTAATGTATTGTATCTCTGTATTTTACTCTGCTCTGCCTATTGTACAGATATCTCTGTATTGTGCCCTGATTAATGTATTGTATCTCTGTATTTCACTCAGCTCTCACTGTTGTACAGATATCTCTGTATTGTGCCCTGCTCAATGTATTGTATCTCTGTATTTTACTCAGCTGTGCCTGTTGTACAGGTATCTCTGTATTGTGCCCTGATTAATGTATTGTATCTCTGTATTTTACTCAGCTCTGCCTGTTGTACAGGTATCTCTGTATTGTGCACTGCTTAATGTATTGTATCTCTGTATTTTACTCAGCTCTCACTGTTGTACAGATATCTCTCTATTGTGCCATGCTCAATGTATTGTATCTCTGTATTTTACTCTGCTCTGCCTGTTGTGCAGATATCTCTGTATTGTGCCCTGATTAATGTATTGTATCTCTGTATTTTACTCCGCTCTGCCTGTTGTACAGATATCTCTGTACTGTGCCATGCTTAATGTATTGTATCCAGGGACGTATTAGCCGCGAGGCAAACAAGGCATTTGCCTTGGGCGGCATTTTTCAGGGGGCGGCAAAAAACGCCGCCCCCCAAATGCCCAAGGCAAATGCCTAGTTAGCCTTGCGGCTAACTGACATCCCGAGCGGGCGGGCGGCGCTGGCAGGCGGCTGGCGAGGGAGCACTTCCTATGAGCTGACTGCTCAGCTCCCTCGCGCGCCGCAGAGTGAGGCTGGGAGCCGGAAGATGACGTCATCTTCCGGCTCCCAGCCTCACTCTGCAGCCGGCGCGCGAGGGAGCTGAGCTGACAGCTCAGAGGAAGTGCTCCCTCGCCAGCGCCGCCCGCCTGCCAGCCCTGCAGCCACTGGACCACCGGACCACCAGGGAGAGGAGGTTGGGGGGGGATTTAAATTAAAAAAAAAGTTAATGTGTGTGTGTGTTTGTATCTGACTGTGTTTGTGAGTGTGTGTGTTTGTCTGACTGTGTTTGTGTCTGTGTATGTGTCTGACTGTGTGTGTGTTTGTGTCTGACTCTGTGTGTATCTGACTGTGTCTGACTGTGTTTGTGTGTGTGTGTGTGTGTTTGTGTCTGACTGTGTTTGTGAGTTTGTGTGTGTGTGTGTTTGTGTCTGACTGTGTTTGTGTCTGTGTATGTGTCTGACTGTGTGTGTGTTTGTGTCTGACTGTGTGTGTGTTTGTGTCTGACTCTGTATCTGACTGTGTTTGTGACTGTGTGTGTGACTGTTTGTTTGTGTCTGACTGTGTGTCTGACTGTGTTTGTGTGTTTGTTTGTGTCTGACTGTGTGTCTGACTGTGTTTGTGTGTGTGTTTGTGTCTGACTGTGTGTCTGACTGTGTTTGTGTGTGTGTTTGTGTCTGACTGTGTTTGTGAGTGTGTCTGTTTGTGTATGTGTGTGTGTGTGTTTGTGTCTGACTGTGTTTGTGTGTGTTTGTGTCTGACTGTGTGTGTGTGTTTGTGACTGACTGTGTGTGTGTGTATTTAGAAGGTGGGGCGGGGGGAAGGGTTGGGTGGGGGTGGCGCAGGGGGAGGGGGGCGCCTGAGTTTTGTCCTGCCTAGGGCAGCACAAAACCAGGATACACCACTGATTGTATCTCTGTATTTTACTCAGCTCTCACTGTTGTACAGATATCTCTGTATTGTGCCCTGCTTAATGTATTGTATCTCTGTATTTTACTCAACTCTGGCTGTTGCATGGGTATATATATATTCAACCTAGCTATGTGTATTTAGTGGGTATATTTGTGTTGTGCCCAGCTTTGTGTATTGTATGAATATCTCTGTATTATACTCGGCTCTGTGTAACGCATTGGTATCTCCTTATTGTACTGGATGTTTTTGTATTGCATGGGTATCTCTGTATTGTATCTGTGTATTGTATGGGTAACTCTATTGAATGGGGTTGAGTACATGAGGGTAATATACAGATCCCACAGGTCAGAAGACGCATGCCACAGGCTACAGAATTAAAAGACAAAGTCAAATTCTGGGTGGGGAGTCTGGTGCCGCCACTGTATATTATATAATTTGATATCATTTTCCTTATTTGCACTTTAACAGCTAACAATAAAACCAGTGTGGGTTTTTGTGCTTGTCTGTGTTGTGTTTTTGTGCATGTGTATTTGTGCATGTGTGTCCTAATTAGTTAACTCAACACAGAATATGTCATTTCTAAAATTACCATAATAAATGAAGGCATCACGGTTATCATTGCTCTACTTTGTGAATATATTTGCACATCTATAAAATTTTAAAATTACTTGTTATGTGATTAATAAAGTTCAAAGAGTGCTAAATGCAAAAATATAGTCATTTTGTTATGTCTATGTTTCCGTGATATACGAGCACATGTCGCTCTCTGTGTATGCAAAAACAAATGTTTCAACCACATAATTTCATGCACATATATCAGAAATATGCATTTAACAAGAAGTGGATAGCTCACATAGAATAGAACCGCATGTGGAAAGATAAATAGAAAAATGTCTGGTTTTCCATTAATAACTCCATCAAGGATGTGGGAGGTGCTTAACGCCTGCTGAGAAATACAAAATATCATATATCTTTGCAGATCAACTTAACATGAGGTACCTGGACGAAAATTAAACTGTTCGTTTCCTCTGTGTCCACAGGGATAGTTTATTAATCAGTGCATACAGACATGTTATATTCTTGGTAACATGTCAAGGTTGTTCCTTCCTAAGTTGGGTTGACTTGTAAGAATCTGGAATCACTAGTCTTTGCTTCAGAAAACAGACTGCAAGGTAATGCCACTAGACATTTGCCCATCGACAGAGGTGAAGTCTTTGATGTTTACCTCGGAACCTGTAAGTTGTTTGCTGTTTTTGGCCTTCCTTGACAAGAGAGTTCCAACTCTTCTGGCCCAAGACCGCACATCCTCTTTGAAGGATGGAGTGTACAAGCCATAGACAAGGGGATCAGTACAGGTGTGCAGTAAGCCAAATAAAAATAGGCTGTGATGGACATATTCTGGAATTTGGTGGATCATGTCGGGCTGGAACCAATACCATATTCCCAACAGATAATAAGGTGTCCAGCAAACCATGAATGAAGCCACAATGACTAAGGTCATCTTCAGAGTCTTCAATCTTGCCTTTGATATGAGGTCATTCTTACTTCTTGAAAGCTCTGTTTTAATGACAACCAGACTACAGTTTTTATACACATAATTATGTAGTGCAGGCATATTATTTTTTTGGTAGACAACATACAAGCACAGGTTTTAAAAGAAGAAGGAACCGATTTACCATACATATCAACCCATAAGAAAATCTATTTTATTTTACAGAAAGACATATGCATATCCCAAGCATTCTTGAGTAAGCCAGACTATAAGACACTTAAATGTGCTTGAGTGCCAGAGCTATGTACCACCCAACTTAACATTTAAATACCCATGGGTAATAATAAACAAACACTGATTCAAGTGGAGAGCACGGCTCACAGCAAGCTCGATTAAAGGGCCTGATGACTCCATACACTTGTAGCCCATATAAGTTAGTGACTTTTCTGCTGTGATAAAGTCTACAATTCCTAGAATTCTCTGCCAGCCCTCTTATGGTATACAAATCATATGACCTATTCAGAAACATTTAATATATTTACTTTCCCTTACATTTAAGATACACCTCTGGCTGCTAATGGGTTAATCCCTGCATATGCAGTGTTTCAAAGCAAAATTCTGCACATACAGACTCCAGGCATCATGATCACTTCAAATCACTGAAGTGGTCATGGTGTTTAGAGTAACCCTTTAAAGGACCACTCTAGGCACCCAGACCACTTCAGCTTAATGAAGTGGTCTGGGTGCCAGGTCCAGCTAGGGTTAACCCATTTTTTTATAAATATGTTTTTGAATGGGTTAAGCCTTCCCCCTAATCCTCTAGTGGCTGTCTCATTGACAGCCACTAGAGGCGCTTGCGTGCTTCTCACTGTGATTTTCACAGTGAGAGCACGCAAGCGTCCATAGGAAAGCATTGTAAATGCTTTCCTATGCGACCGGCTGAATGCGCGCGCAGCTCTTGCCGCGCGTGCGCATTCAGCCCAGGAGGAGGAACGGAGGAGGATCGGAGGAGGAGAGCTCTCCGCCCAGCGCTGGAAAAAGGTAAGTTTTTACCCCTTTCCCCCTTCCAGAGCCGGGCGGGAGGGGGTCCCTGAGGGTGGGGGCACCCTCAGGGCACTATAGTGCCAGGAAAACGAGTATGTTTTCCTGGCACTATAGTGGTCCTTTAAAGGGACACTATACTCACCAGAACAACTGCAGCTTAATGTAGTTGTTTTGGTGAGTATAATAGCTCCCTTCAGGCATTTTCATGTAAACACTGCTTTTTTAGAGAAACATGTCCCTAGGGACACCTTCAAGTGGTCACTTCTTAGATGGCCACTGGAGGGGCTTCCTGGCTCAGGGCTGCACAGTAAGCATCCCTGCCGTTCAGCGCCCCACAATCTGCATGGAGACACTGAATTTTCCTCATAGAGATGCGAGGCACTGGAAATAAGGTGAGTTTTAACCTCTTAAGGACAAAGCTTCAAAAGATTGTCTTTCACTTAATGACAACAGCATTTTTTTCATTTTTTGCTGTTTGTGTCCAACTGCAATTTGCATTTTACTAATTTGTTGCACCAACACATATTATACATCGTTTTTTAAAGGACAGAAAGGGCTTTAATTTGATGTAACACACACATATATAAATGCTTATTTATTATAAAAAAAATACAGAATTTTTAAAAAAAAAAATGAAAATGTGTTTTTTTTTACAGTTTTTGCAATAATAATGTGTGCATAATTAGTGCAGGTTAAGAAAAGTAATTAAAAATAAATTAATTTAGTTGTTCTGATTTACAGAATATATAATGTGTCTGGGATTTTAAGTCTTTTTTGGTAGTTACAGGTCACAAAGCACAAGGAGTAAAATAGACATTTAATGTGGAGCGATCTTAGAATTTGGTATATTTGTCTTGTAAGCTTAATAGCCATAAAAGAAAACAAAATTTCCACACAAAAGTATATATTTATATAAAGTAGACATCACGGGCTATTTACCTAAGGTTGTTTTGACACTTTCTACATAGCCATTTCACCGCCAACCTCTGCTAAATATTGGAGTAAAATTATGTTTTTTTTGTTTTTTGGCACACAAACTTACAACAAAGAAATTCTCATGTATATTTTGTAAAGTTGGTGTGTGCTATTCCTGTACAAAGTTTTATTTTGTGTTCAGTTACATCTGCTGAGTAAAATGACACCCCCATTGTATGTCTTTGGCACTATTTCGTGAAGCTACAGTGCCATACAGGATACCTGTCCTTTTCAGTATTCACAGTAGACTTTTGAGAGATGGATTTAATGAGCCTTAGCTTCCATTTGGGGTATTATAACAGTTTGACTGTTCAAAAACCCCCCACAAAGGCCTACCATTTGTAAAAGTAGACACTCTGTAGTCAGTAGTCAGTGATCAATTGGCAGGGAAGGGGTTAATTTTTTATTACAATGGGTAAAGGGGGGTGGGACTTTAAATTAACTTTATTTTTTTTACAGCAGGGGGCAGGATCAGCACTGTTCCGGCTCCCTGCACTTCACACAGAACCAGGAAGTGCAGGGAGCCGGAAGGTAAGTATACAGAGCACATGTGCTCGCTCTGACTTGCGGTCAGAGCGAGCACATGTGCTGGGCAGCCTGACCGGGTGCTCCCGGTATTCCTCTAATGCAGAGGCATACCAGAGCACCATTAACCGATAGCCGCAATAGGCGATCCGGGATTTACCGCGTGGCGGGGCGTGGTCCGTCACTCGTCTGGGGTCTCCACTCTGTGACGGACCTCGTCCATCACCCGTCCCGGGGTTAAAGTTTTACAGGGGGCTAAGGGAGATGGGGGCAAGCCATCTTAATGGTGGGTTTAGCACTATAGGGTCAGATATACATGTTTGTGTTCCTGACCCTATTGTGATCCTGCATTATGGTGAATTAAAATCTGAATTGCAACTTTTAGGGTGAAATAGCCAAAGCTGTGACTAAAGTTGAGCTGGAGAATATTTCCAGATCTGCTATTTTAGACTAAATTTGGCAAATAGGATTATAATTTGACACAATTTAGAATTTAGAGAATAGCCATCAAAATAGTTTGCTCAAAGTGCTGTTTTATTCTTTTTGAACCCATACTAGCTTGTTGCAGACTGATTCCCTTAGTTGTTTTTTTTCTGGGGAGGGTTAGTTGCTTTCTCTATATATTTATTTTGAAATGCATACTTAAAGGAATTTACTGACGTCTCCTTTTAAATCTTAAAGAACACATTGCCATCATCAGAAAGGTGTTTTTCTTCTGTTTTTTTTTTTTTTGTTGTTTATTTTTTACCAGCATGAGATGTCCTGCTTTTTTAGTTTTGGCAGCTTCATGTAGCAATGTTGCCGTTTAATGATTGGGGCATTCCAGTTTGGCATAGGATATTTAAAGAACAGATGGCAGAGACCGTCAGTGTTTTGAGGGGTTAATAATCATGTGGATTTTAAAATGACAAGCTATAATAAAACCTGACTTCATCGTGAGAAAATAAGACTTGTTTTATTCACATTATAGTTTAGCCTTCTTAAATTGATGAATGGTTTTATCCAACACATCAGGAGCCCCTGTGTATGGTACACAAAGAGTTAATAGGAAATGTCAGATAAGTCAGCAATTGGACTGGTCAATGAAGGTTCTGCACTTATTAATTTACCTTATATCTGCCCTGAGGATCTACAGCCTGGACCCATAGCCTTAGTGACAGGGGGCTTCCTGCAGAAACCCATTATCTCCTATGTCTGTTACAGAAAGTAAACAAGGATTGTAATCTGTCCCTGAGCATGACATTAAAGGGCTGCCTCAGACCCAATTAGCAGATTTTCTTTACTTCAAAGAGCTGGTCTTAGAAAGTAAATAGACTGGAGGCCAGGAGGGCCCCTGACAAAGCAAGTTCACATGATCACACTAGGGATAACAAGAGAGGGTTTTCATGTTCTGTTTTCCGAACCCTGACCATCCCTGATATTACTATAAAACTTTCATGACACATGCTCTATGTGCCTCTGTGTCACTGATGATATGTCAGAATTGCTCAGAGATGTGTGCATTGTGAAAGCAGAACGTACACAGAAAACAGCTTGTCAAGTACCAAAATAAAAACAGAAAAACATTATAGCATTGACATCTTATGCCAAACTGTTGTCTTTTTATACATTATCGTACCAGATAGATAAGTGTGCCGCCGCCCTTGTGGCATGCACTCAAATGCTTAAACAGATATTTATATACACTATATGGACAAAAGTCTTGGGACACCTGACCGTCACACCAACAAGAACTTTTTTGACATTACATTCTAAATACATTGACATTTTTATGGGAAGGCTTTCCACAAGATTTTGGAGTGTTTCTTTGGGAATTTTTACCCATCCATCCAGTGGAGCATTTGTGAGGTCAGGCACTGATGTTGGATGAGAAGGTCTGACTCGCAATCTCCATGTCAGGGGTCTCGCGTCCTCCACGCTCGTGTCCTCCACGCCTTTTGGTGGCCCTCACTTAAGCAAGACGTAGTGGATTATGTGCAGGCTTGTCGTGTTTGCGCACAGTGTAAGTCCCCTAATGTTAAACCCCCGGGACTCCTAATGCCTCTATCCGTGCCCAAGAAACCATGGACCCACTTACCATTGTAGATCTTCCTTCATCTGGTGGACAGACAGTAATTTGGACTGTGACCGATAGGTTCTCTAAAATGGCACACTTTATTCCACTTAAGAAACTACCTTCTGCGGTTCAGTTGGCTCAAGTATTTGCCAAAGAGGTGTTCCGCTTGCATGGTATACCACAGGATATCGTATCCGACAGGGGTCCTCAATTTGTCTCTCGGTTTTGAAGGGGTTTTTGTGCTGAGATGGGGATCTCCTTGTCATTTACGTCCTCCTATCATCCACAATCTAATGGAGCCGCCGAACAAGCAAATCAATCTGTAGAGTTATATTTACGCTGCTTCACGAATGCACACCAGGACAACTGGTCTCACCTCCTTCCCTGAGCTGAATTCGCCAGGAACACCGTGACTCATTCATCCACTGGCTTAAGTCCTTTTATGGTTGCTTATGGGTTCCAACCCTCTTTCCTTCCCGGCGTGTTCTGTCACAAGGGAATACCCGCTTTGGACGAGCACCTTACCTCCTTACGGAAGATGTGGGATCAGGTCCATGCTACTCTTTCTCGTGCGACTGCTACTCAGAAGAGATTTGCTGATCGTCGCAGGGGTGCTGCTCCTTCTTATGTCCCGCGTGATAGGGTTTGGTTGTCCTCTAAGAATCTCCGCCTCAGGGTCCCCTCGATGAAATTCGCACCCAGGTTCCTTGGCCCCTATAAGGTATTGTGTAAGATCAATCCTGTGTCCTACTCTCTGGCCTTGCCTCCTTCCATGCGTATACCTAACACTTTTCACACCTCCCTTTTGAAGCCCCTGCTCTGTAATCGATTCTCTGGTCCTCTCAGGCGTCTGGATTCCCTCCGCGCTGTCTCCAGTGACGTGTACGAAGTGGCTGCTCTGCTTGATTCTCGTTTTTCTCGGGGTCGGTTGCAGTATCTGGTATATTGGAAGGGTTACGGCCCTGAGGAGCAGTCTTGGGTTTCTGCCTCTGACTTGAATGCGCCCTCTTTGATCCACTCCTTTCATGCACGGTTTCCTTTGAAGCCTTCGGCTTCCCGCCTGTCGGGCGGTCCTCGAGGGGGGGTTATGTCAGGGGTCTGCGGTCTCCCCTCCTCCTACTTGTCGGCGCGTCGTTCACGCCTCCCAGCGGCAGCATGTATAACGCTGCACGCTGGGAGGTCACAAATTTATGCAGACGCCGGGGTCACTCACGTGACCCGGCGTTAAAGCAACAGTACCACAATCACAGTGGGAAGCGTAGATATCTCCCACGTGTGATTGTTAATTCTGATTGGAAGTTATCCAATCAGAATTAAGCAAAGGATTTATATACTTACCTTTCCTGTCTCTCAGTGCCCTGTTGTGGTCTTGTGATACCTGTATTGCAGTTTGCTCGTGTTTCTCTCTGGTTACCGATTATTTGGCTCGTTATTCCGATTCTCCTGTTTTCTCCATTCCTTTGACCTCGGCTTGTTTCTAGTTCTCCTGTTTTCTGGCTCCCTTTACTTGGCTTGTCTCCTGACCATTCTTAGCGTGCTTAGCCCGGCCACTCTAAGGACCGGTATAGCATCTTTTCTCTCTGTGTCCTGTTAGCGTGTTAGGTTCCAGAATCGTGACACTCCATTACAGTTCATCTCAAAGGTGTTCAATGGGATTGAGATCAGGGCTCTGTGCGGGTAAGTCATGTTCTTCCACACCAAACTCATTCAACCATGACTTTATGGACCTTGCTTTGTGCACTGGGGAACAGTCATTCTGGAATAGAAAAGGGTTTTCCCCAAACTGTTCCTGCAAAGTAGGAAGCATTGCATTGTCCAAAATGTCTTCGTATGCATTATATGGTGTGACAATACTGCTTACATATCGTCTGTGGGTATTCTTTTTACATAACTTGCAGCACTAAACCGCTCCACTAAATGCTAGGACTCCTCTTTGGTAGCGTATGCTGGCTATACTGAGCTGATATCTGGTTACTATATGATATTCTATCCATCCTTTTTCTGGCAATACTCTTATTAGTAATTACTCTATAGAGGACAATGAATAGTCATATCTTGTGAGATCTCAAGGAAGAGACAACACCAGTTTCTTTCTTGGCAACTCCTAGAACTCAGACTCAGACTCTGACTGTTTATTGTATCCAGATCCAACTTTAAAGATCACAGCATACAGTAATATAAACAAAAAAATTACACGAAACATTCACCAATGGGAATACAGAACAGATCACATAGAAAGAACTACAAATCAACAAAGTGATTCCTTACACTAGTGCTGCTTCCTTTTTTTAGGGGTAGATTTTCCTAGAGCATTTGACCTATCATTGCTGTCCAAGTTGGACCCATTCACTCTTGATAATGTAGACGTATAGATTCTGTGTTATAAGTGGGGCTGAATAAAGGTTAGGCTTCGGAGAAAGCCTCATTTTTTAAACGATTCAAAAATTGCTTGATGAAAAATTGATACAGCATCCAGAAATTTATAGCACTGTAGCGGTAGTAGTATCGTCAAACAAGATCTATCAGACTGCCTACATACTGTTCATTCATCTATTGGGTTATATTTGGTTGACAATTAGCACTTTCTACAAATTAAAAAAAAGCATTACAATATTCTACCACACTAAGCTCTCATCATTCTGCCATCTTGGATTTCTATAATTTCTCCCAGACTAAATATTTTTGAACTCACAATAGCAACCCCACCTAATGTAGATGTTCAACTTAACAACTTTGGATAGCATGGCTCATTATCAGTGCCAGGAAAAGAAGAACCACAGCCAGTCCCAAGAAGTAGACACCAAAACACAACAAAAATCCAGTAATTCAGTCCTTTTATCCAATAAAGAAAAACGTTTAGGTCCGCTGAACTTCATCAGGCTTAGTTTTGATAAAGACATTTTGTTTTCTAATGAGCTATTGCTATTCATTAGACTGAAACCCATTCAGTCTCTGTTTCTTTCTGGATTCAGGTGGCTATATGTGGACTTAACAAACATTCACTCTGTGACTTAGAAATGAAAGCAATAGAACAGGGGTAGCATCTTACATAGAAACTCTGCAATTGCTGTGAACCCTATGATCAGCTTTTCCGTTTATAATTCAAAATGCAGATGGACACAGCCCAAATTCCATTTTGCAGTAGGCTACATTCTAAGCCCAGAAAGGTAGACGTCAGATTGGTGGCCTGCGACAAGCCATTCTTTCTAGCTGAATCATATTGCACCTGCACAGCGACACACCACTTACCATTCTTGTGTTTCATCTGTTTACTGATTTCCCACAAGATGCGCGTGTAACATACAATCATGACCACAAGTGGAGTGACAAAAAGGGTACAAAATGTGACCATGTTATAGGTGGTTTCCTGCCAGTGTTCTGGAAAGCTTCCATGGGTGGCACACTGGGTGAAGTTGGCTCCAGGAACAGTACGCAGACGAAAGAGAAAGAGCTGAGGAATGGAGCACAGTTTATAGTATTCTCAATTAATTGTCAGGAGCATAAGTTAAACAGTGATTGCTGTGTGTTTTTATAGACTCAAAACTAGTATAATGACGGGTTTACTGACTGCACTGAATATTGCTTAGGGTAGAGAGGGTAAGAAAAGGAAGAGCAATAGGCTGTGCTTATTCCTCTGGTTGTTAATTATGAAGGCCAATATTTTCATAAGTTTGTTAAATTTAAATTAAATAAAAAGCCATAATAGAAGCACATTTAATGATTGCGACCCTTCCTAATACATTGCATTAATGTCAGTGGTCTCATACTGCATGTAACTAAAGGTACAGTATAGTATGCACCATTGCACCATTATATTACTGCATGCACTCTGTGGTATGTGTCATATTGCATGTAACTGCAGGCACTGCATTGTATGTATCTTACTGCATGTAGCTGCATGCACTGTATGGTATTAATCAAACTGAATGCAACTGCAGACACTATATGGCATGCGTCAAACTGAATGCAACTGCAAGCATTGTATGGTAGGCACCACACACAGGTAATATAAATAGAGGTTGATTGATTTAATTTTCTCTGTGGCTTCATGAGACGCATATTGAACCAAGCTGTGAGTCAGATATTCAGTTCTAAATATATAATCCATCACAGATATTGTTATTCACCTTATTAATATTCTAAGCTCTGACAGGGATACTCTATGTCAGATTGTTACCTCAAATTGTGACCGTATCACAATTCTGCTGAGCACAATGTAGAATATTAAATGCGCATTTCATAATATCAACCATCATGAGTGTAAGAGATTTATATATATATATATATATATATATATATATTACATTGAACTGAAGTACCTGGGGTGATGCCAGTAGAAGGCTGCCTATCCAGGCAAACCACAGCATGATACGATTTCGCTGCCCAGCGCTGGTGAAGCTGAGAGGGTACAGGATGGCCCAGTGTCTGTCCAGGCTGATCACTACCAACACTAGTGCTGCAGAATACATGGCAAACAGCTTTCCGAAGTTGAGGATCTTGCAGGACAGCTCCCCTGCATACCACTGAACCATTATATTCCAGAAAGCGTCCAATGGCATGACCAAAAAGGTAACCAGGAGGTCTGCCACAGAAAGGCTAAGGATGAGAATGCGTAGGTGTGACTTACATCGCTTCCCACTGATACTGCACAAAACCGCCACATTACTGCATGATGAAATAAAAAAGAAGAAACAGGTGACGCCAACGCGGAACTTTGCAGCTACCGTGAATGCAGGCTCTGTCCAAGGTCCAAGAATGTCCAATGCTGTGACATTAGACACTGGAGTAATTAGAGAGTGAGTACTATGGTTTATGGGAGCCTGCCCTGCCATGATCTGAAACAAATAATGATATTGTTAATATAGTGTCTATTCTGCCTGTAGAAAAATATATATTATCCAAAGATTAAATATAGCCTTGTACACATCAGGCAGTCTAGCTCTGTCTATACAGTCTATTCACTAAACAGGGAAATGTGGTGGAATAAAAACCAGATTTGAAATAGCCAAATTGTAACTATATTTTCTTGATGTTAGAGGTGTGCTTTGCCTGTGCCACCAGGTAGGGGAACTGCAATGTTAAGATTACATATTACATACGCTGAAAAGAGATGTGAGTCCATCAATTTCAGCCTTCCTCACATTTGTTTTTTGCTGTTGATCCAAAAGAAGGCAAAAACAAAAACAGTTTGAAGCACTTCTGATTATGCAACAAATTAGGAAAAAAATCCCTCTTGATCCCAGAATGGCAGCCAGATTTATCCTTGGATCAAGAAGCTATTACCCTACAGTTGAAAGATTATATCATTGAATATTATGTTTTTGCATCTAGTTGCTGTTTACACATCTGTAAAGACTCTAATAAAACCACTTCTCCAGGTAGAGAATTCCACATCATTATTGTTATTACTGTGAAATAAACCTTTCCTTTTCCTTAGAGTAAATCTTCTTTCTTCCAGTCTAAACGCATGACCTTGTTTCCTATGTGTAGGTGATACTCGAAAAATTAGAATATTGTGCAAAAGTTAATTTATTTCAGTAATGCAACGTAAAAGAGGAAACTAATATATGAGATGCATTACATGCAAAGCAAGATAGTTCAAGCCGTGATTTCTCATAACTGTGATGATTATGGCTTACAGCTCATGAAAACCCCAAATCCACAATCTCAGTAAATTAGAATATTACATGCAATCAATAAAACAAGGAGTGTATATAGAACAATATCAGACCTCTGAAAAGTATAAGCATGCACATGGACTCAGTACTTTGTTTGGGCTTCTTTTGCAGCAATCATTGCCTCAATGCGGCGTGGCATGGAAGCTATCAGCCTGTGGCACTGCTGAGGTGTTATGGAAGACCAGGATGCTTCAATAGCGGCCTTCAGCTCTTCTGCATTGTTCAGTCTCATGTCTCTCATCTTTCTCTTGGCAATGCCCCATACATTCAGGTGAGGCAAGTTTGCTGGCCAATCAAGCATAGTAATCCCACGGTCATTGAACCAGGCTTTGGTGCTTTTGGCAGTGTGGGCAGTTACCAAGTCCTGCAGGAAAATTAAGTCAGCATCCCCATAAAGCTCGTCTGCAGAAGGAAGCATGAAGTGCTGAAAAATCTCCTGGTATACGGCTGTGTTGACTTTGGACTTAATGAAGCACAGTGGACCAACACCAGCAGATGACATGGCTCCCCAAATCAACACAGACTGTGGAAACTTCACACTGGAGTTGAAGCATCTTGCAGTGTGTGCCTCTCAATTCTTCCTCCAGACTCTGGGCTCTCATCAGAAAAGAGGACTTTGGACCACTGAGCAACAGACCAGGTCTGTTTTTCTTTAGTCCAGGTAAGACGCTACTGACGTTGTTTGTTGTTCAGGAGCGGCTTGACAAGAGGAATACGACATCTGAAGCCCATGTCCAGGATCCGTCTGTGTGTGGTGGCTCTTGATACACTGACTCCAGCCTCAGTCCACTCCTTGTGAAAGACCCCAAAACTTTTGAATGTCCTTTTCCTGACAATCCTCTCCAGGCTGCGGTCATCCCTGCTGCTTGTGCACCTTTTTCTTCCACAGTTTTCCCTTCCACATAACTTTCTTTAAATGTGCTTTGATACAGCACTTTAAGAACATCCAACTTCCTTCGCAAATTACCTTTTGAGGCTTTCCCTCCTTATGGAGGGTGTCAATGATGGTTTTCAGGTCAGCAGTCTTCCCCATGATTGTGATTCCTACTGAACCAGACTGAGAGACCATTTAAAGGCTCAGAAACCCTTTGCAGGTGTTATGGCTTACTTAGCTGATTAGAGTGGGACACTGTGAGCCTAGAATATTGCACCTTTTCACAATATTCTAATTTACTGAGATTGTTGATTTGGGGGTTTTCATGAGCTGTAAGCCATAATCATCGCACTTATGACAAATCACGGCTTGAACTATCTTGCTTTGCATGTAATGCGTCTATCTCATATATTAGTTTCCCCTTTTACGTTGCATTACTGAAATAAATGAACTTTTGCACGATATTCTAATTTTTCGAGTATCACCCGTATTGTCCTGTTTGTGAATAGATTTCCAGATAATGGTTTGTATTGGCCCCGGATATATTTGTATAATGTTATCATATCCCCTCTGAGGCAACGTTTTTCTAAACTAAAGATCTTCTAAAGAACTAAAGACTATGATCACAATAATATAACTTTAGATTGTTATAAGCTAAGATGTGTAGCCTGCTTTCAAACCCCATGAACCCTTTGCTTTGCAAAAGTTACATACCAATTAGCAGTGCAGTATGTTAATTCTTACCTGTGTCACCATATCACAGATTTCTGCTGCTCACGTCCAATACATTTGCCCCAGGTGTACTCATTTCTGATTACAGCAGGTCACGTGTGCAATCACTGCTGGGATAAGAAGAAAAACACAAATATCAAGATGTACAAAATCAATTATTTATCAAATGAAAACCAAGATATCTAAGAACACTAAAAATTACCCCAAATCTTTCATGGATTGTTGTTTAAGAAGTATAAAAACTCACAACAAAGAGATATTCTAACCTGGCTCAGACTCATATTCTGGAGTATTGAAACTAGGCACCCTATGGTTTTCTACAAGCCGTGGACTATAATTGATGTTCAGACACTCAAAACGGTAACAGGGAATATCTTTCTCTCCAACTTACCGTAGCTGTAATGTATACACTCACATGCCACTGGAAAAATGCAACATTTATTGAAGGAGATTGCAGGATTGAAAAATGCAAGAACTGATATATTTACACAATTTACGCTATGGAGCTTGCTATCCTTTGTTTAATAATGAAATGATATCCTTTTTTCTGTTGCATGTAATGTTAAAGCCATTTTGTTTCTGTAAACTGCAATGTTCTCTTTTCTACTCTTGGTTGAACAGCCTCACACGTGCTAGCATTAGCATAAATAATTAGCGTAATCCACAGGAAAAACTGGTTTATGTGGCAGATGATATTGAGTGTCAGCTGTTACCAGGGCTGTCTTTAATATTGATTGGACCCTGGGTAAAGCACTTGCTTGGGCCTCTGGACCCTGTACACCCTCCTCAGGTGTGCAATCACGTTATCACTATTAACGCAGTGGCAACCTAAAGTAGAGGGGTGCAGGAATATTTTTTGGGCCTCCCTATTGAAGGGATGTTTAAAAGGTAGATCCCCATCTGTAGTGCAACTCCAGCAATGCCTTGACAGCTGGGGCTCTACCATTTACCCATGTTTGCAGGTTTGGATTTAGCACTAAGCAGTTTTTGTGTGTTTCAGTGTAAACAGGTTTTTGTATGGAATATGTTTGTATGTGGTGTTGGCGTTTGAATGTAAGCATGTATTTATGTGTAGTGTTGGTTTTTGAATGCAGGGGTGTGTATACATATAATGTTGGTGTTTAACACAGACGTGTAGTTGTATGTAGGGGTGTATTTGTGTGTAGAGTTAGTGTGTGAATGCTGAGATGTATGCACATATACACACACAAACACACACATAGATATACACACACTGAAACACATGTAGACTAGACACACAGTTATACACACAAACTGACACACAAATACACAACCTGACACATAGATACACAACCTGACACACATTCAGATACACAGACACACATACTAATAACATACAGATACATATACTGACAACATACAGATACAGAGAAACACACAGAGACAACATACAGATACACACTGACACACATACAGACACACTGATACATATCCTGACATACACAAAGATAACACATGCAGTTACACAGACACACATATACACACCTGACACACTTGCAGATACACAGATACACACACAGACTTCATACAGATACACACACATATATACACACACTGACACACACACACACACACACAGATACACACAATGACAACATATAGATACACACACAGATATACAGACACATAGAGACAAACTGACACACAAACATACACTGATAGACATACTTACACAGACACAAACACAAACTGACAGACATACTGACACATAGACAGACATATACATACTGAGACACACAGACATACTGACACACTGACATACATGCTGACACATTCACCAACACACACACACCGACATACTGACACAAAGAGCCATACCGATACAGACATGCACACACTGACATACATATGGACACACACAGAGACATACACTAACAGACATGTTGACACACAAACACATATACTGACAGACATATTGACACACATTCACAGACACACACGGCAATACTGACACGCTGACACATACACTGACAGACATATTGACACACACATATACTAAGACATATTGACATACATACACAGACACACTGACAGGCATACTGACACACACACACACACACTGACAGACATTCTGACACACACTGACAGGCATACTGACACATACACTGACAGCATACTGACACACACAGGCAAACATACTGACACTCACAGGCATACATACTGACACATACACTGACAGACAAACTGTCATATAGACATATACAGAGACATTCACAGATACACACACACACATTGACACAAACTGGCAGACATACTGACACATACACTGACAGACATAATGTCATACAGACATATACTGAGATATTCACAGATACACACACACACACACTGGCAGACATACTGACACACACAGGCAAACATACTGACACTCACAGGCATACATACTGACACATACACTGACGGACAAACTGACTTATAGACATATACAGAGACACTGGCAGACATACTGACACATACACTGACAGACATAATGACATACAGACATTTACTGAGACATTCACAGATACACACACACTGTCAGACATACTGACACATACACTGACAGACATAATGACATACAGACATATACTGAGACATTCACAGATACACACATACACACACACACACACACTGGCAGACATACTGACACACACAAAATTTACACTATTAAACCCACCCTCCAGTTTCCTACCTTGGAGGGTGGCTTTCCCACTGGTGGCTGAAGCTGTTGGGAGTTGGGGTCTGTCTAGCTCGGCCCAGACACCCTCTGCTCTGCCTCTTCCTCCTCCCGAGCGGCTCCTCTCTTTATGGGAGGAAGTGACTTGCGGCCGTCACTTCCTCCCAGCTGGCTGCCGAAAAGCAAGAGGGCCCAGTAGCGCTCTTAAAGCTCCAGAGTGCAAGACCAGGCCCCTGCTGACAGAAGCATGGGCCACCTGGTGGTCCTCCTTAGTGTGCGGCTGCACCGGCCGGTGGGAGAAATGCTTGAGGCCAGCGGAGCCCACGGTGCAGCTGCTTTGGGCCCCCCCAGGAGTAACTGGGGGCATTTGTCCCGCGGTAAAGACAGCCCTGGCTGTTACTTCACTTACTAAATAATGGACGCAAAGGCAGAAGTCAAACCATTTAAAAATAGTTTGACCACTTAGAATGGAAGGCTACAGGGCACTCCTGAAACTCTAACCACTATGGTGAGCGGTAGTTGTTATGGTGCTTGGAATATACTTTTAAAATTAACTTTGAAAGCCAGGCAAATGTATATAACTTAGTAGTATTTTTTTCAGCTTTTGGTACATTGCCACATCACTGATAATCAGTTATATATACACTGATGAGCCACAACATTAAAACAACTGACAGGTGAAGTGAAAAACATTGATTATATTGTTACAATGGCACCTGTCAAGGGGTCGGATGTATTAGGAAGCAAGTGAACAGTCAGTTCATGAAATTCTTGTGTTGGAAGCAGGAAAAATATGGCAAGGGAAAAAAGATCCGAGTGACTTTGACAAGGACCAATTAGTGATCCCTAGATGACTGGGTCAGAGCATTTCTAAAACGGCAAGTCTTCCCGGTATGCAGTAGTTAGTACCAACCAAAAGTTTTGCAAAGAAGAACAACTGAAGGGTCAAGAAAGGACAACATTAAGGGCCATGGGCGCGTAAAGCTCTTTCATTAACATGGGGAGCAAAGACTAGCCCATCTGGTCAGATCTACTATAGCTCAAATTGCTGAAAAACATAATGACAGCCATGATAGAAAGGTGTCAGAACAGATAGTGTATTGTAGTTTGTTGTATATGGGGCTGCATATGTGCAGACTGGTCAGAGTACCCATGATGACCCCTTTCCATCATCAAAAGCTCCTTGATGAAAGCGTCAGAATTTGGACTATGTAGCAAAGGAAGAAGGTTGCCTGGTCTGATGAACCATGTTTTCTTTTATATCAGATAGATGTCTGCATGCATGTGCGTTGTTTACCTGGGTAAGAGATGGCAGCTGGATGTACTATCGAAAGAAGCCAGGCCTGCAGAAACAATGTTCTGGGCAATGTTATCCCAGGAAACCTGGGTCATGACACTCATGTGAATGTTACTTGGACATGTAACACCTACCTACAAATTGTTGCAGACCACATATATCCCTTACTGGCAATAGTGGTACCTGATGTCAGTGGCCTCTTTCAGCGGGATAATGCACCTTGCCGCACTGCAAACATTGTTCAGGAATGGTTTGAGGAACATGACAAAGAATTCAAGGATCTGACGCTAATGTCTTGGTGCCAGATACCACGGGACACGTTCAGAGATCTTGCCTTGACATATCAGAGTTGTTTTGGCAGCATAAGTGGGTTCTAAACAATATTAGGCAGGTGGTTTTAATGGTGTGGCTGATCATTGTATACTACAATCAAATGATGTGGTGCCAAAACATATTTTTTTTAACCAATTTAAAATCATTGGTTGAACTTAATACCTGTCTTAAGTAATCTTAAACTAACTTTCACGTTATGATTAATAAACTGTCTTTTATTGGCAGCAATTCATGTTGCTGTATTGTAATAGAAACGGCAGTATTTGCACATGGGGATCAGCTAATACCAATTTTAGTGTCTTATGGTCACTGCCTTCTGTCAACCTACCTTTAATAAAAAAATGTATTGAATGTAGCAATTGAAGACTGTTCACTAAGATAATTTGGGGATATGAGACTGCCCCCTGTAAGCTAGATCCATTCACTGACAATCTAAGCATGAAATATATGTAACAATTTCTCATCATGCCTAATTCTACTTGGAAGCCTGCCGTGAAATGCCACAGGGATTCTGTTTTATCGTTCGAGAAACAGTTGAGGATATAGAGGAGCTGTACACTTGCTTCCTACCTTCCTGATGGATGAAGTTGACAAAATTGCTGATAAGTCATTTGGTTGCAAAAAAACCCCCAAAGCTTCTCTTTTAACACGAGAGGTTAAACATTAGGTTATTTTAAATGCTAATTGTTTGCAATAAGCTCTGCTTCTAGTTTAATCCTTTAATAAAATGTATATATTTATATGTGTGTGTGTATATATATATATATATATATATATATAGAGAGAGAGAGAGAGAGAGAGAGAGAGAGAGAGAGATCTACTTAGAAATAATGAATAGGGAAGGTTTTTTTTAGCGTGAAATGTTTTGGTACGGTATTTTGTTCTTCTATAGAATACTAGGGGGAGATCCTTTAAAATTAGTGCAGGCTTTGTAGAATACTATAGAGGCCATTCTCATTGGAGTGTAAACAAATCACCCCCTAAGGCAGCTCTTGAAAAATGAATAGAAAGAAAACTCTTCACACAGATCATATTAAAAACCAACATAATGAAAAAAATGACCGTTCTGCACCTAACATCCTATGGATTATATCTGTAGATGTTCGTAATGATTACACATAGCTACATTGAGACAATTTAAACCTGATATAAGGAAATAAATTGTCTCACCTCCTCAGACTATTTCCTACATGAAAATCTCAAACTTTATTCTTGATTCATAGTGAAGAGAGTCATGTATCTTTAATGCTCATTCTTAAACTCTACCGTTATCTTATTTCCAACATTTCTTTTAGAAGGTAATGCCGTGTATTCACAAGCCAGTATTAAAGGGACACTATAGGCATTACCTCAATGAAGTAGTCTGGGTACCACGGCCCTGTTATTTTAACCCTGCAATGTAAAACATTATTATTTTGTAGAAATTGCCAGATTAAACACATCTATAATGGCGCTTCCAGTGCAATAACCGAGTCTGACTTGCTTCTTCGATCCTATGCTTCTCATAGAGGGAATTTGATTGGATGAGCGCAGTTTTTATGTACATGCGCATTTTGTTGCCAATGATTGTCTTTGAGAAGCATTGGATTAGATGAAAACACTGAATATATCAGCAGGCTTGCTGACAAATAAGAAGGTGAAGTAGAGGCTGCAGTAGTGTTTTGGAAACGAGGTAAGTAAACTTTATTAAACTTAACTCTTTCAACAGCCAAAGGTGTGGACACAGGTCACAGCAATCAAATGGAATTTATAGTCCCAAAAAAAGATTTTTTTTTTCTGAACTGTAGTTTTCCTTAAACCCAGTTGTTGCTCACTGTGACTTCCAGGAAAAGCCATCATTTGATGTTTATCTTTTTTCTTACACCTTTCTTGTGATCGTCTTTCGTTATGTTTTATCTTGCAGACCTAGCACCATAATACTAGGACCCCCTCTGAAATATTTAGATTTTCAACAAAGAGTATAAAAAAAAATTTGTAGAAACATTCTGTTAAATAATTCCATCCATTCCTTGAGATATGGGCTCTACACATTTTTTGACAATGTTCCACAGGAATGTTGTTGACTTCATTGTTTCCTACAGGTGTGAAAGTTTAGTTTTTTTAGGTAATCTTAATTCCTGGTAGCTAATCCATCTAACCCTATATAGATACTCTGTTAGATTGAGGCCTGGTGGCTGGACAGGTTATTTTGGTAAACTGAATTAATTGACACATTCGTGAAACAATTCTATCCTTATGGTATGAGTATAATCTAGGTAAAAATGTCTATTAAAAGGTACCTATACTTATACCTATGAACAGTACCAAGGTACCTATGAACAGTAATGACTTTCAAATCTTCCTTGTCCTCCAGAAATCAAACATTGCTACCTTTTTACCAAGACTCCCACCATGTGCTGTGAAAACACATTCATAACATCACAAACCTGCAATGCTGACCCACAGAATGACGGATGGACAAACACTTGTGGTGATCTCCATACATTAGTAATCCCATCAGTATGTAATACAAGGAAATGTTATTCATCAAACAAGAAAATGCCTTTTCAAATTTTTATGTGTCTAAAGTGTATCATGTTCCTTCAGACCATATATGCACAGTTTTGTGTAAATTAGCTAAATAACTGGAACTTTGTTAGATCACTGGCTAATATTCCTGATTTGTTTCAAGGTATGTTGGTTCTTTCAATATAATTCATTTACTAGGCAGCTAATTCGCAACTGTAGTTGTCTGGACTGTCTGTTGCACCTCTTAAATCCTCTTAGTCACCATCGCCTTTTATTAAGGAGGAGGTATTCCGCATTGACCTGCCGTTGGCTGGATGAGCATTTGAAAGCTCATAATTGAACAAACCTTAATAATCATGAAGTTAACAGGCAAGTCAGGCACTTGGATTACTTGGCATACTCCATTCAAAGGAGTTTAAAACATTAATCATGCCCATTTAGCTTTTAGAATTGTACTTAAAACATTTGATGTCTCTGTTGTGTCATTGTTTGAAACTACTTCTTTAATCCCACTCTACAAAACAGAAGTGGCTTTACCCGGTCGCACAAAAAAAAGTGGTAATATCTGGCACAATCTAAAAAGCATTTGTCCCATAATTTCTATTTAATAAGCCGCCTAATATTAATCAGTTAGGAAAAGTATCTATCAGAAACACCCTATGTTTTGTACTGAGTACCATTTGTTCCTTGTTCATTGTTCATGAAGGCTACAAAATACTTAGAATGGACATTATTTCACGAAAAGTTGTGTACATGTAAAGCTCATTCTTATTGATAGACCACTATGGTAATTATTAGACTAGATTCTTCTGAAATCCAAAAATCCACAATACTATGTGGACAAATCATGAAATGGTTTGGAATTACCTCTATGGTGCCTAAAAGAAAAAAAGAGGGAGATGATTGATGGGAAAAAAGATCATTGGTGGTTATTGGGACAATCATTAAATGTTGATTTTATTCAAAGATTAAAGGGACACTATAGTCACCCAGACCACTTCAGCTCAATTAAGTGGTCTGGGTGCCAGATCCCTCAGGTTTTAACCCTTCAGATGTAAATATAGCAGTTTTAGAGAAACTGCTATGTTTACATTTGGGGTTAATCCAACCTCTAGTGGGTGTATTCCTGACAGCCGCTAGAGACGCATGTGCGACGCTGGAGGCGAAATTTTCATTCAGCGTGCAGAATGTCCATAGGAAAGCATTGAATGCGTGCTTGGGAGCTGATGTCAGTGGGGGAGGAGAGGTCACCAGCGCCAAGGGAGCCCGGCGCTGGATTAAGGTAAGCTGCTGAAGGGGTTTTAACCCCTTCAGCACCACGGGAGGGGGACCCTGGGGGTGGGGGCACCCTTAGGGCACTATAGTGTCAGGAAAACCGCTTTGTTTTCCTGACGCTATAGTGATCCTTTAAGTGAGAAGTGACCAAGAGAAGTAAAAAAAAAGGAGAAGCATTAAAAATATATTTATTTATTACTGTTGTGGACAAAGATATTAACCCAATCCATGTTAGTAAAATGCCTGTTTACTCAGTATAACTACAATCAGCATTATTCAACTTTCTATGTGATTTACCTAAAATGGCCGCTAGGGAGTTTCCCTTTGACATCGACTAACACCCTCACTAACAAGATGGCGCTGGAATCTGGGGGAGACATCACACCCGGTAGGAAGAGTAATAAATGAACCCCTTAACACCTAACCAATTATTGATGTATTATTCCATGTTATCTCTGACAATGCAAATGATGTAATTTTGAATAAACATTCCTCAAGTTTTTCATTAACCCGAAACCTGTGTCTGGTGTGAATTACTTCAGGAGCGTGCACGCATCTTTTTAAATTTGGCCGGGGTCAGATACGCAAGATAATCAATTCATTGATTGATTCCACATCAATTACATATTTAATAAATATATTACATATAAATATGTAATACAGCCATTTTTGGTGCTATTTTACATTGCCTGAATCGTTTTTCCAAAAAAATGAAACGTCACATGGATGAGACCTGAATCGCCATAACAATTTTTTTTTCTGATGACTATATTCGGACAAACCAAATGTTTTCACTGTGTGCAAGCTTAGTAATTATGGTATTGCCATTATTTAACCCCTTAAGGACACATGACGGAAATAATTTGTCATGATCCCATGTTATTCCAGAAGTTGTGTCCTTAAGGGGTTAAATATGTTCATGTTGATATTCAGTGTTTCCTTGACCTCCGACCACATTATTATAAAACTGAGGTAGAATGATTAAAAACAGATTCATAGTCGGTGGTATTTAATAAAGTAAACTAGGAGCAAGTTCTAGATTTGTAGCAGCCAAGAGAATGGGGTGTTTCAATTATGCCTCCAATTATAACTTGATAAACATGGGCGAATTCAACCTGAACCCCTATAATGTCAAAGCGCCTGCAATAAAGAAAAATAATACAATTTCACCGCAATCAAATGGGTTAATGCCACAGGAGAAAATAGAGTTTAAATGGAACCTGAAGCACAGTTAAGTTAGAAGCATTTTATATAGATTTCCTCAAGACGCAGAGCCTCAAGGTGTCAGGTGCCTCATCTTATGTATTTTTAAACAGGACAAGGAATTTGCTTCACGGAAAAAATAATTTCATTCGAATAATCAATGCTTGATATCAATGACTAGGAAAATGAATATTCATCTAAACAACTGAATAAATGAATCGGAAATTCGTTAGTAAGAATAAAAAAAAAAATTCACGTCCTTCATGTCCTTGATAAAATCTAAAATATATATGCATGGAGAACCTTAGGTCAGGGATCATGTGAAAATTAGCTGTAAAATCATGGAACAAATGGCTATATTTACACCAGGACACTGAAAGTCCATTATCAGTGCTTAATAATAACATCAATACCTCAAAAGCCGTTTGAAATCTAGAGGAAGCTACATGTAACATTTCTAGTTAAAGTATTTGAAATTTTTCATGTTATTAATATTTGGAAAGCTCCAACATATACTGTAGAGCAAAACTGTACTTGAAGGGAAAAAATGAAGCATTTTTTGCAAAAAGAAAAATCAAATAAAGACAAATATTAATAAGAAATGCAGGAATAATCACAGCAGGAAAAAAAAACAGTTTAAAGAACCTTATATACCACAGTCATGTAATAATAAGGAATAACTCTTTGGATGCTGGGGGTTTCATTCAACACCTGGTAGTCAAAATGGACAAACAATTGCAGTATTTATAGCGTTAGCTGCCTAATTATATAATGTTGATGCTATATAATACAAATAATAATAATATAGCTTTACAACACAATAATTAATGAAATAATACATGATATTCAAAGTGTTATCATGTATTCCGCAGAGCAGTGTCCCATGCAAATAAAGTAAGAAAATTGTAGAACACAGATACACCTATATAATACGGGACCATGAGTGTAACACATCACAATGAATAATATGAATTATCTCTCACCATATCCTGATGGACTAAGCTTGTACTCTCTCCTGTCTGGCCAAAAGAGTCATAAGAACTTGTTTCTGTTCCTGTACCCAGCTCTGCATCTTTGTATTATCCTTGCTCAGACTGCTCTGTCCCTGAAGCTGCTGTGAGGCAGTTCAGAGCTGAGCATTGAGTTTTATGGGAGGAGGGATAGCGCGCTGTTTGAGTAACAGCAGATCTATTGAAGAATGAAGTGTATCTCTTAGTACGTTGAGGTACCACAGGATGCTGTTAGATGTTTAGACCAGTGTGACCATTTTTGCACACCATTCCTTACTCTGAACTGAGCACCTGGGAACTTTTTAAATTATCTAACTGGAATATGCTTTAGTATGTTAACCCTTTAATTGTGTATCATATAAAGAATTTAAGTTGTTTTAGAGTCTCACAATTGTACTGCTGTATAGCGATCTTTTATATATCTATATTTGTTTTTTAACTGCTAGATGTGCAGAATAAAATTGTTCATTTTTTATTGGATTTGTTCTTTTGCCTGTATAGTTTAGCGCCCTCTTATAGGTGGGTTTATTCCCATCTTATATTTGTTCAAAGAATTTATGAGTGTTTTTTTTATTTATCATTTAAAAGTTTTCACGAAAACCAGAAAACCAGAAAACCAGAAGTTGTCAGTACTTGCAAATCCCTACAGAAAATTGTCACTTCTCTGGAAGTGACAGTTCCTTATTCTCTCGCTCTACTAAACATGACATAAAGGTAGCCTGCATGGGTAAGAAATAAAAACTAACACAATATCTCCTTAATACGTCTGTGTTCAGGGTCACATTGTCACCCATGCTCAGGGCAGACTCACGTGACAGCACAGAAATTCTGCATGAGCTCACACACTTGTGCATTCCTACAAAAGTGCCACATGTACACATTGCGGATCAGTAGAGTGAAAATTTGGCACTGTACTACCAATATAACACGTGATAGAAGCACAACCAATGCACAACCAATCAATACAATAGAATACAAAAAAGGGGAGGATGCGCTACATAGTATTAAAGCAATATGTGTACTTAACAATATTGATATATTGGTAAGTATACATATTGTTTTCATGCTGTTTAGCGCTCCCCTTGTGTCCTGTATTCATATGTAAACATTAACTTACACTCATGCCACTGTGAGGGTTCATGTAAAAATAAAACTACTGAGAAGTGTTTTAATGGTAACATTGAATGAGCAGGACCAGTAATAATTGCGACAAGTTTATATCTCCTCTCCCCAGAGTCTGCTCGTGTTGCTGCTGCACCACATCTTAGCACTCCTGTCTGAGTGTGAGGAGCACACACTATTATGGAGATTTGCAGGGCTATGGCATCATATATTTGTGTTTTTACAAACCTTGAAGAGAAGCTGCCTTCTTAAACAATCTACGCTGGACTAGCATATTACTTTATTTTTTTTTAAAGTAAAAAAAAAAAAAAAATGTGGTTTAGTGCCCTTCATCCTATAATTGACGTGTGTATGGAGTCTTTGATTCTTACAACTGTTATTGGACTGGACAATTATAATCAGCAGGACTCTGAACATAGTAATTGAATGTCAAGTAAATCCATGGTTAGATTGTTCCACTGAGCATTCAGACCTGCCGTAGTGAGGACAATTGTAACTTCTTTTATGGGTTTATGTGTGCATGATGAGTGTTCTCTGTAGTGTGCTCACCCATTGTTCTTGATGGTTCTCTTGTCATTGATTGGATCCTTCAACAGCTGTATGACACTGGCTGTAATAAATAACTAAATCATGGAATTACTACATTCTTCTATGAGCACTGAATGTCTAGGCCTGGAGTGAGTAGCCGTATCAGCAGGTAAATATTCTATCTATTGTAGGTTGCACAGATTAAGGACTGGATTCTATTACTGGAGATAGTGGGGAAATTGCTAGTCAATTACAGGAGATAAAGTATCTCTGGTAATACAAACTAGCCATAAATAAAACCTATAATAGCAATAAAAGACTATCATGTGGTATTTTATTTAATGAGATAGATTACACTGAACTGGAGAGTTAGGTTATTAGTCCCGTGGAATAACATTGAATGTGGTGACTATAACTTATCTGATGAATTTAGTCCTGCAGACGTTGACCTTGTTGGAATGAATCTTCACAGTCTTATAGCCTGCATCCCTTAAAGCAGAGGGAAAATGTGTGTTAGCATTTCATAGCTTGACAAGCAACTTTGTGTTTACCTGAACGGTTCTGAATATTGCAGCAAAATTATAACCTGTCAAGGTCTTTCTAATGCAACATTTTCATTTAAAAAATGTTTTCCTTTTGAATATGTACTCGACAATATGCAAAAAATAAAAACAAATAGAAAGGGAGATTTGCAGGTGCATCAAAAATGGATTAAAATGTAATAACCACTACAAAATCAAACTAGTTAGTACCGCACACTCACACAGTGCGTATCTATCATACACACTATATATACATATAAACCATGGGGAAAATGTATCATTGTGTCCAGTTCTGAAAAGCGGTGCAAAGATGTGAAAGAGTAATCACACTTCTGTATCATACCCAGAAATGAAGAAGAGGATAAGGATAGTGTAAAATCAAACATTTATTGCATAAAATATAAAAATTCAACTTACAGACGCCAAATTGTATCAGTTTCGTTTTTGTAAGAAATGCACAAGTGTGACGTAAAGAGGTGCATGGAGTGCGTGGAGCTTGTCCTCATCGATTGTCCAAGTCCAAGATCTCATACGCCTCTCTATAAATGTTGTAGATTAGAGGCGGAGTCTAGCAACTGAAGCGAGCAGACGCATGGCTGCGGAGCTCCGGGAGAAAAAGAGCCAAAACAAACATTAAAAGTGGGATTCATCACCCTACCCACACAACAGGGGGTACCCCAACACCCCCCGACTCACATGGGCCGCAAGATGAAGAAGCAAAAGCCCGACAAACCTCGGCAGGGCATGAACATTGGGGACTTATGGAAACAGGCCCTGAGTGCCCCGGGCCCCAACATGGCGTCCCTACACGGAGGCTGCTCCGACTTTGAGGATGAAACCTCGGACGAAGCAGAGGGGGAGAATGTGGCAGAACTGCGGAGGCCCTCGACGGCACCGCTGAAACCTACACCGCCCACGGCGGCCTCCACGCCGGTCACAATGGAAGCAATCGGCAGACTCATGGAGGGCCACCATCAAAAAATCTCGGCAGAGGTGGCCGCAATCCGAGACGACTTACGCGGCCTATCGGGCAGATTGGGTGTGATAGAAAACCGCTCCGACTCACATGCAACCCATCTCAAGGAGCTGCAACGGGCGGTTTCAGAACTTCAACGACAAAACCTCCTCACGGAACGAAAGCTCGACGCCCAGGAAGATAGACAGCGCCAAAACAACCTAAAAGTGCGGGGAGTGGCAGAAAACATCTCGGATGCTGAGCTACCACACTTCACCAGGCGGCTGATAGCTGCACTTCTAAACCCCAAAGCGGCCAAAGCGACCCAAATAACTGGTATATTCCGCATACCGAAATCGAGCAAAGCACCAACTTCAGCTCCTGGAGACCTGATTCTTCAGTTCGTCAGCCGCACAGACAAAATGGCGGTACAAGCAGCTGCCAGAGGCCGACCTACCTACCTATTTGAGGAGATGGAGCTTTCCTTCTATACCGACCTCTCGGGAGGAACGCTAGCATGGAGGAGAACGCTAAGACCGTTTACCACCCTACTACACACACACCAGCTCCGGTACCGATGGGGCCCAGCCAACACACTACACGTCACCAAAGGTGAAACAACGTATGTCATACATGACATGCAAGAAGCCACAGCGGCAATGAGAGACTTGGATCTCCCCCTGGACTCCCTCGGAAGAGCGCTACCTGCAACCTCTCGAGGCCTTGACCCGGTACACTCCACAGAATTCAAGCCCAGACAGAGAGCCACGGAGGCTTACGCTGCAGCCACGACTTGAGCCCGACAGGCCCTTCACCGGGACGCTATTTTTTTATTTTCTCACAGATTGGCCGAATCACAACCTTATTTTTATAACTGAATGCTTAGCTTATCTTACTTTTTATTATTGTTTTTATTTTTTAATAATTTTTTTATTTTTTTTTTATTTATTTTTTTATCTTTACCCTATCAATAGCCACATAAACTCTTACTATTGCTCTACGTTAGTACCACACTCCACACGAATTGTAATAAGGGGACATAGACATAATACTACTGCCCCCAAACGGCCTCTGGCACGCAGAAGCACACAGAAGCCTCCCGAAGATACTTAACACCAATAGCCCGCACATTTTGAACACATTAGGCTAATTGCTACAGCACGGGGGACAAAGCTCTCTTACGGTTTGTGTGTGTAATGTTTTCGCGTTTATGATTTTAGTTTCGTTTACTCAGCATTGCTTCTATGGAGCAACACGGATAGGATTGTAAACTTAGCCACCCGGAACACGAGCTACCACTAGCCCTTAATATCATGATAACTCAACTAATTCAGTAAAACCTCTATTGATCTCCCTGGGGGTTTTAAAATTGCCCACTCTGGCGGTGTCAGCGGCTGAATATGCTGGCTCATACGCTTCTAACAACTTACCTGCTAACGTTTAACGCGTTAGACCCTAGCACTAGCCCATAACTTTCTATTGTAGGGAGAATATAGGCATACATATATGCATATCAGAAAACACAATAGGGGGATGAATAGAAGGGGACAAGAGAAATGCATACGCACCCATACGAGACCTTCACCGCACAGCTTTGCCATGCACTTAACCTTACTCTTACATGAGACCACACTAACTGTAAATTCATCAAGCTGAACATGTCCAAACTGATTAATCATTGCTCTTAAACATGATAATTGCAAGTGTTATTCTTTTTTTTTTCAAAAAATGTGCGCTGTTTAACCTGCCATGACTTACCATGTTAAAATGTTATGAAAAAGCATGCAGTTGCTGTTGTGGCCCTGCACGCCAAATGTTATCACATGCACGATGAAAATAAAGAATTATAAAATATAAATGTTGTAGATTAAATTATTTTTAAAAATGCTTTAACCCCTTAAGAACTGTGCCAGTTGTACA